TAATAATAATAATAATAATAATAATAATAATAATAATAATAATAAGGCTCCGCCCCACAAATACAGCACTGGGCCCTCGAGACCACGGCTGCTCCTTCTCCGTGTGCTGCAATCATTCCACGCCCTTCGGGGAAGGCCGGAGAGCCTGACCTTTCTTTCTTGAGCAACTCCTGGCTGATCAGAACCAGCTGGCCAGAAGCGTCGTGCGTTTTCCTGGACACCGTTTCCAGTTCCGCTTCGAGCCGCTTCTTCTCCTTCAGCAAAGAATCCGCCTTCCTCTCGGTGCTCTTGCACCTGCTTTCCAGTGCTAGCAGACGAAAAGAGGAGGAAAGTAAGAAGACATATTAAAATAGAATCGGGCTGGCTGGAAACCCGGCACAGCAAAAGGAGGCGAGGCTCCCCTGGCACACGGTTCCTTGCCCTGGTGCCCTTCGTTTGCGTTGCTTGGCAGCTCTGACGATTTGCAGCCACCTTGGCCAGCAGCTGAGGTAGGTGTCCCCACACAGGCCTTGGGGAGCAAACGGTGCAGAGCCCGAGACCTTCCAGGTATCCGCGGACTCGACTCCCACTCGGCATGCTCGGCAATCGGGGATGATGGAAGTGCCGCTTGACCGTCTTCTCGAAGGCCACCAATTCCGCACCCAGGCACGCAGTCCCTGCCCTTGGACGACCCATTCACACGTCTGCTGAGACCAACCCCGGGAAGGTCAGGGCAAGGCAGTGGCGTCCTGCGTGGGCTCTCCACTCTGGGCTCATTTTGCCGAGACAACAGTCCTGCGTGGGGCCTGCGGAATATGGACCGCAGCGCTTTGTGTTGCTCCAAAGCTCCGCCCAGGCCAGTGGTGGTGGACCTTTGAGAGACCGGGTGCCCAAACTGCAACCCGAACCCCACTTATGTATCGCAGAGTGCCAACACTGCGATAACACCTGAAAACTGAGGTTTTAGTTTAGAAAAAACAACTCACAGTCAGTCCATATATCCTTGGCAGAGCACTGACCGGCCATGCAAAAGCTCGGATGAGTTGCGGCTAATGAGTCGTGGCTTGTGATGCCATCGCCTGGCGCCGCTACTCCTTTCAAGCATGCGCGGGGCCCCTGTGTGCGCTGCTATCCGACGCTCGGCCGCTGCGGCGACTTGGCTCGCGTGCAGACAGAGCGGGCTCTGCGTGCCCGCTGTGGCACATGTGCCCTGGGTTTGCCACCACTAGTCTAGGTCATCCGCCCAGTTCCAGCAGTGGCCAGGCAGGTGCTCCGGGGAAACCTACCGGCAGCAGGAGAGAAGCTGCCCTCCCTGGGCCTCGCTCTCCAACAACTGCCCTTCACCAAAAAGCCAACCAGGGTTAGCTTTAAGCCTGGCTTTGAAAACCCTGGTTTGTGATAAAGATCAGCCTAGATACTGGCATAATGTTGACATTAGAAAGGATAGGTTGGGATTTGTGCCTCAAATGGTGGATCGACGGTTGCCCATGACTATTTCTTAGTTAGGGTTAAGACAAGGGGATAAGTTACCTCTACACTAGCCTGCATAAGTCATAAACAGAATCACAGAAATTAAGAGCTGGAAAGGGGTGAGGGAGGTCATCTAGCTCAACCCACTACTCATTGCCGGAATCAACCACGACAGAGTACCCCAACTGATACATAAACCACCATTACGTCATTCCTGAATCAGTTTTACAACACCTCCAGCAAATTTAAAAAATACATACATTTAAACAAATTTGCATACTACAAGAGCCTCAATACTGGTACCTTCTTAAGAGGTAGTGAAGAAATTGAGATCTAACTTAAAGCAAGACATATTTATCTACTGCTATGAGAAGAAAAGGCATCTTTTCTTATTGCCTTTTCCATTCCTGATTGCTGTCCCAGAACTAAGGACTGTTCTAAAAATCCCAAATATTTTAATAAACTTCACAAATTAAAGTTGCCTTCCATGATTAAATTCCCCTCCTCACCAATGTCTAAAGATACCCTGACTTGCTAGTTTTCCAGAGACCAAGAATTCTTATATATGTGCTCAGCTCCCATTCCCATTGTACAGAGATGCAGTCCAGACACAGGTAATTTAATCCACATGCTAGTGAAAATCAGGACTAAAACTGATGTGATCCCGCACAAACGTCAGGTCATTCTGACCAACGGAAGTCGAAGGAAACTTACCACTTACTTGGGCCCTTAAAATGTCCGTCTGAGAGACAAGGGATGACACTTCTTTGTCCTTCTTACTCAGCTTGTCCTGGAGATCTGTAGAGAGAGACACAGAGAAGCCACTGGGCATGTCTCTCCTGCTGCCTGCCACCAAAGACCACTTTAAGCACACCCTTCAGAGCACAACGCAAGGAGTGGTTTTGGTCAAAGGATGCACACTCCCCTCAAAGCGTGCCAGCGGTGCCAAAGTCCGTGGTGGGCAGGACCACTTTCTCGCCCCGTCTCCGCACCTCGCCCTTTCCCACACACCATCCCGTTCCACTACAAAGATGAGACCCACTGTATGGTTGATCTGAACCCAGGCGCCAGGGCAAAGTTACCTTCCATTGCCTGCTTCATCTTGATTTTTTCCTCTGAAATGTCATTTGTTTCGATCATCTACAACGAAGGTAAACAGAGAGAGAGAGAGAGAAAATTTGTGCTTGCACTGTGGATGATGGGCATTGACTGGAGAATGCACCCAGCCAACTGTCTGCTGAGTATCCGTCAAGCAATCGATCATAATTGCATCGCACATCTTCCAAGTCGAGTCAGGCGATGCAAGTATGAGTCCCACTGCGCAGTGAATGCGCAAGGTCTCCAAAGCAGAGGAGGAGCGCACTAACAATGTGCTGTGGGATTTCCTCTTGGCGGCTGGAAGTTCGGTGTATTCCACAATGTCCGGAAGTGGAAGCAGGGATGAGCAGGAAAGGAGGTGGCCACAGCCCCAGGTGGGACCCCATCTTTGGAGGTCCTTCTCTGGGAACCCCCTCCAAAGGAAGTAAGGAGGGTGGCTACCAGAAGCAGGGCCTTCCCAGTGGTAGCCCCCAGCTTTGGAATAGTCTCCCCAAAGAAGTGCATCGGGTGCCTACTCTATTATTTTCAGTGCCAGATGAAACCCTTTTTATTTTCCCGGTATTTTAACAGTGAACTTTTTAACTTTTGGTTTTAACATTGCATTTGCCCCTATACAGCTGTGATACCTCTGTGCTGATTCAGTTGCAATACTGGTGGTTTTATAATCTTTGGTTAATATTTTTCTCTTTTTGTTTCTTATTTCTGTATTGATGTATTTCAGATTTATACCACTCAACAGCCAGTGGTCCTCTGGGAGGTATAAAAATGAAATGCATACATAAATAAATTTCAGATTGGTGAAATTATTATTATTGTATTACATTTCTATACCAGCAGCAGCCAAAGCTCTGCGCACACTTCACAACATTTAAATCCCCCATCCAGGTTTTAACCAGGCCCGACCCTGCTTAGCTTCCACAATTGGGCACTCCAAGTTCTTATCTGAGACAAAAGGGATTTCTGGAACCCTGGAAGTTTATCCATCCAAATGAACGGGATCCCAACTAGGCACGTCCCTTCTTCTTGCTCTTTCTCCTCATCTGACGCCATCTGTGCCCCCTTGAGTAACTACACAAGCTCCATGACCTTCTCCATGTCTTCTCCCATCTTGCCTCTACCAGATATTTTGGCACGCCTTCCTCGTAACAATTCCCTCTGGCTTTTCCTCTCTCCAAACGGGGTCCCCTCCCTTTTTAAAAAATCCTGCCTTTCTGAAGGACTTCTGACATATTCCACTTAATCCTCACCACCAACCGAACCAAACTTCTAAGGATATGTAACCATCTCAGCTTGGCCTCCTCCCGCTTCCTCTCATGGCTTCAAAGGAACCGTAGGCGCCCTGCAGACAGGGACCTGTCCTGCTGCTCCCATGTAACTCTGCGCACTGATGGAGACAGTGGTACATGGGTCGTGTGGCACTGAACAGGCAAACACTCATTTCCAAGCCGCGTATCCAGTGTTACTCTCTGCTCGCTGGTCTCCTCTTCCAGCGTGTCTGCATCTGTGGATCACCCGAAGGAGAGGGCCTCTTGCGCTATATCCTTCTCCGTTCGTTATATTTCCTAGGGAAATATTTTTCTCTAGTGCACTACCCGCCTTTAACGCCTCCCCCGATTCTGAGAAACCAGAGTTTTGCTGGCGGATGCTGATGCGCACGTCTCTTATCAAGTTTCTCCTTTTGCTCTCGCAGCCAAAAAGAGCAGAGCTGGGGAGGCTGTGGAGGGGACACCTGACTTACACCTGGTCTGTCTTTTAGTATTATGTTTTGATTTAGGGTTTTATTTGTTAATCCAGTGTTTTAGCCGACGGTTAAATGTCATACACTGACTGATGGATGGACTGGAACAAGCAAACATGTGTAATAAACCAGGAGGAAGCCAGGGTCTTGGTCTGGGGGAATCAAGGGCATTCCTGGTCGCTCAGCACGTCCTATATTTCATTCTGGAGGTGTCCACATGGTCCTAACAGCTTGGTAGGGGCAGTCTGGAGAAACTGACTGTATCAGCAGCTCAGTGGGTGTTACTTCAGTGTAAATACATCTAAGAATATTAAAAAATTGGGGAGGGCAGAGGTAAGAAACCTCTAACAGACTCCTGTTAAAAACTGACTGCTCATCAAAGACACTGGCCGATAGAACACATACGTTGGCATGCTGGGAGGGGTGAAGAGGCTCCGTGGACTGCAGCTTGTTCTCCAACACAAGGACTTTCTCCTGCAGCCTCTGGATCTCTTGTTTACTCTGGGCCTCCGTTTTCTGCAGCGTCTCATAGTCCAACATCTTCTTCTCAGCCAGAGAGATCTGTTCTTTCAAGAAGGCAATGGCTTCCACCTGGTCTTTGTAGTCGCCGTGCAGCTTCTCCAACTCGTGCACTCGGAGTTCCGCATCCCGACATTTGTCCTTGAGGTCCTGAAGTTCGGTCAGGTGCTGGTTGGTTTTGGTTTCCAGCTGCATCTTCCAGTTGTGGTCGCTTTCTTCCATTTCATCTTTGGCTTCCTGCACCTTGAGCTTCAGACTTTCCTTCTCCTTGACGTGAACGGCCATCTCAATGTCATGCTTGGCCTTCATGTTCTCCAGCTCCAGCTGGTGTTCCATCTTGATGCTCTCCACCACAGCTTTCAGCTCCACTATCTCCTTATGGTGGGTATCAGAGCCCGTGTTCAAGGTAGCCTTGAGGTCCTCCAATGACTTCTGATGATCAGAGGCCAGGGTGTCCAGCTTGGACTTCCAGTTGTCCATCAAGCCCATGTTCTCGTTGGTGGCCTGCTGCACTTTATGTTTGAGATCCAGGATTTCTTGGGAGTACTTCTCATTGAGGGCTTTCAACTTCTCCATCTCTTGCTGGTGCTTCTTCAAGGTTCTATCATACTTCTCCTTCATCTGGATGCTTTCCTTCTGGTGCTCCTTGTTGGCCGAAAGCAGCTGGTCACGTAGGCGGAGAGCTTCGGTCTGCAAGCCAAGGCCATGATCCGGAGACTCAGGCTGATGAGAGTTCTTTAAGCACTGCCGCAGCTCTTCCACCTCGCTTTGCCTTAAGGTCAACTCTTCCTCTAGCTGAAGGATTCTTGACTTCTCGGCCACTGTGGTCAACTGGAAAAATTAAGAGACAACACACGCATGCAAAGTCAGTTCTTCAATTTCCATACTCGTCCGCTCCTTCCTGGCGGTCTCACCCTCACCATGTTGTTAGACTACATCTCTAAACATCCCTGATCATTAAACGTGCTGGCTTGGGATGAGGGGGACTGGCTTTCATCCACAGCCGAAGGACTACAGGTTCCTCACTCCCGTAACTGCCAGGGCCTCTTCACACACGGTGGCGATGGTCTGTTTGGTGCACACCCGTGGGATTTCCAGTATCCCTCTAGCTTTGCCAAGGACCAACACAAGAACATGTTTTGGAAAACATGGCTATCGCACATGCTGGGGAGGCGGAAGTAGCCCTGACCTTCTTCTTGAGTTTACAAGGTTTCCTGTGTGAAAGGCCCTTAAGGGGGCTGAAGGCAGCATCTGAAGACTGAACGCAAAGAGAAACCCCTTCCGAGACTGGAGTTGCCCCATTTCTTTTTTGCACCAGGGTAAATTTTCCACTAAGTATTTCTTTAATGCCAGGCCAAGAAATGCTCAGGCCCAAATTTGCATCTTGCTGTCTTTTTTACAGAAAGCATATTTTACCTAGAAATATTATTGTTGCTTGGGGAACGTCAGGATTTAATCCAGCCTATATATTACGGGAAAATCCATTCTCAGAATGTGCAGTGCCAAAGCCGCCCCCACTCAGGTCCAAGGTGGTTTGCAAAATTACATTTTTTAACTAAAAAAGAAACCCCCTATCAAGGAGGACTGGGTGCAGACGGCTGGCTGGCTGGCTGTTCAGAGAAAAAATTCCGAGAACTGGGAAGAGCACGGGGTGGGATGGAATGGGAATGTCCTCCTATCCAGGACAGAAGCACCCATCCTGCAAGGTGCTGTCACATCACAGGCTGTGAAATGCCCGTAGTTGTGACTGGCAAGGTTGGGGGGGCAAAGGCAGGGAAATAGAGGCTGCACCCGCCTGTGAAGCACCCCCAGCTTAGCACTATTTTCCACAGGGGGACCATTTGGGGGCAATTTAATGTGCCTCCTTGGAGCACCCTTTGGCAGTGTTTTGAGATGGGAGAAAGGTGCGTGCTGGATCAGACAGCAGGGGGAAATCGCCATGTGCAATGTGCCCAAATGCGTATGTCTCCCCGCAAGCACCAGGCTAGCAGCACAGGGTTAATGCCCTTTCTCCCTGCACTCAGAAATGCTCTACTCCACTCTGCTGTGCCGTTTTGCTACTCTGTCGTCTTCATTTTGCTGCCAGCACAAGCAAAACCTTGGTGCAGAACTTGGAGAGCCAGCACACGCAAACAGTCTACTGGCCCTTGAATTGCTCCAGCTAGAAACACTAGCACAGAAACACAGAAACAGAGCAAGTCAGAAGGGGCCTCTCAGGCCATCTAGTCTGACCCCCGGCTCCAGCCGGCTCCCACCATGTGCATGTCTAGCCTATCCTTGAACAAATCATCTCTCCTGTCATGAGAAAAGTCTATGCATCCAACACGGCATGTGCGTGTCCTTTGGAAAATCCCCTCTCCCAGGCTCAGTCTTCACCATCTGTGAAATGGGAGCAGCCATGACTTCTCATGAAGTAGAAGTCGAAAGCACAAGGGAAGTCAGAGATGGCAAACATTCGGTCACATGCTGTGAATTAAACCCCTGACAATCAAAATCGCATTTGCTTTTGTGTATGGCATAGCTTACCCTGGTGTAAAAAACCCAAAGCCAGCAAAGAAAAACACCCAGCCCAAAGAAACCAGTTAGAAGTCATTAGCAGAAGTCATTTAAAGGGGGATGGAAAGGAAAGAAGGAAGGAAGGAAGGATGGATGGAAGGAAGGACGATAAAAGCAGCTTGGTTAATGTTTAGTGATGGGCTCAGAAACAGTGAGCAAGCTTATGGGCGCAGCAGGTTTGGCTCGCGAATCATGGCGGAAGGCAATGAAGGAACTGGAAAGCTGGAGCATCCGAGAGCAGGAAGCCTGCTCAGCACTGGCTGCTCCGATAACCGACTCCCTAAACTCCATCACTGGTTTTAAGCATTCAGACATGGAATCTGAGAGCTGGACGTCTCCCGGCACACCAGCCCTCTCTGCTCAGGTGTCTCACTGTAGTGTGGAACTACAAGCCCCAGCATCTCCAGCCAGCAGTGGGCACCCGGTGGAGGACGCCTTTCCAGCCCTTCTAGTCTAGCACCCCACTTAAGGGAGGGAGCTCACAACGACGGCCAGCATCTTCCCGATCTCCGTTTGAAGGCCACCAAGGGTGAAGTTGCCCAAGGCCATCGTTCCCACTGCTGAACTGCTCTTGCAGGCAGGACAATTCCTCCGGGCCCAGGGCAGAAGACGGATCATGTCAAATGAAGCTGCCGCATGGGCCGCATCTCAAGATAAACATGGCACAGCCTTGGCCAAGGCCAGGTAGAGAACTTGGGGAGCTGTTCTCAGTCCAGAGGTCTCCGACCCCTGGATTCAGTTCGGGAAGATCTGGGCCAAGGCAGGAGAAGCTGTGGAGCAGCAAGAGCAGAGACACCGGCTCCCATCTAGGGAAGTACGAGGAATCCGTTTTTAATCCATATTTAAACTGACCCAAACAGTCCAAAGCTTCGTACAGCCTGCCAGGCATGTCTTTAATTCCTTTGCTGCCTGAATAGCCCTAGTCCAAGCTTGCTCTCTTCACAGGACCTGCAGTCGACCCAAGAGCGGGAGAGGGAGAGGAAGAGGGATCTTGCCTGGACTTGTGCACCCCAGTAATCTGGGTTTCAGCATAAAGCAGGATTGTGTGACTTCTAGCAGCCACCTAGAACATTTCTCATCTTGCTTCTGGACCAAGGCTGGCAACCCAATCTGTTTTGCAATCTGTGCCAGCAAAGGCAGAAAATCCTATTTTCTCGAGCCACCACCCTGAAATTACCCGAGCAGGGCTGGACTTCTGGAGGGCGTCCATTCCTGGGGTTGCCATAAGTCAGGGACAACTTGGTGGGACGTGACCACACACGTGATGCATCTCCTCTGCACTGCGCCATGCATGTTTCCACTTCAATTAGCATTGGAAATACATGTTTCTAGTCCCTATGGGGCCCAAGAACATCTAGTTTCACCATGCACAGCCAAAGTCTAGTCAATCTCGGAGACCAAGAAATGTTTGTGAGCAATAAGCAAGATTTTTGTGGGATGTGTAGCTTCTTTCCTTGCAGAAAGGTGAAACAGAATTATTTGGGGAGGAAATACAGAATTGGCTTGTAAGCTTTTTGAGGCAGGAATCTCTTCTGTTGTCACTCTGTAAAAGCACTGGGCTGCGTCACTGCTCCAAACCAGACCCTCTGGCCCCTTTTAACTCCAGCACTCTGCAATTCCATGAAATTAATAAACAACCCACTCAGCTAGTATACTGAGAATTCAGACTACTTCATTTGCATGGAAATTGTTTTTGTGCAAATTCACACCTGGGTTGGGCACTTTCAGAATTATAACTGCTTCCTTTAACTCCTAACCACCACAAAGGCACCAGACTTCCTCCTTTTGGGGTGCTTCCAGACAGTTTCATCTGAAACACGTAACACACCCCTCCTCATAAAACTCTGGGAATGAGGCCAGGAGAGTGCATGATGAAAGCCTCATCCAGACAAGCCTGTAAATAAAAGCCTTCTCTTCCTGGAAATGGCTAAAATGCAGTCTAGGCCTGCTTCTCCCAAACTCAGCTTTCCAGAATCTGACTCAGAAGAGAAGGGATTGGCATTCTTAGCTGAAATGCCAAAGCCCAGCAGGTTCAGCGATGAGCTAAAAGGCTGGTTAGAACTGGACCATAAGGACCACAACTGGTCCCATGGGACACTCCGTTGAACAGAGACCCAATCAGGGACAGATATAACTCGCCCAGTCTTGTCATCTGGCATCAGACCAACTGAGTAGTGTCCAGTATTCCTACAAGAAGGAGAAACTTCCCTGAAGGTGGATCTACCTCCTTTTGGCTGGAAAAGGAGATTAACTTTGGAACTGGCTTCTTAGCGTCAAGCCCTATTTCCTTAATGGCCAGTATTTTAACCTTGCTGGCATCTTTGGTTAATGGCTTCTGCAATATCCTCTTTTGCACCACAAAGCCAGCCTAACATGGCCAGTTGAACATGATAAGACTGAAGTCTTTTGCTCTGATCTACTGGGGGGGAGGAAACAGAGGGAAAAACAGCCTCTGACATTAAGGGCACACAAGTAGACTAATTAAAACCAAACCAGTCTTATGACACTTAAAGAACCACCATTCACACTTGTGGTTTGTCACAGGCACTGACACAATCTGGTGTGCAAAGCTGAAAAGCAACTGTGAAAGAAAGACCCAACCAGATTCGAAACATTGCCTTCTATCCCTCTATAAGTATCTCAAAGGCTGTCACAAAGAGGAAGGTCAAGATCCCTTCTTGCTGATGCCAGAGTGGAGGGCACAGAAGAATCAAATCAAGTTGCAACAACCCAGATTCAGGCTGGACATCAGGAGAAGCTTCCTCACTGTCAGAGCAATAGGACAGTGGAACCAGCTGCCTGGAGAGGAGGAGGGCTTTCCCACACTGGAGACATTCCAAAAGAAACTGGGCAGCCCTCTGAGTGGGATGGTGTAAACTGGTGTCCTGCAACAGCAGGGGGGTGGACTCGATGGCCTTCTTGGCCCCTTCCAGCTCTGCTATTCTATGATTCTATGATTCAATAAACAGAAAAAAATGTACAAGAAAAATACAGAAAGAATGCCATGTGGCACCTAACTGCCATGTTCTTTCATGGTGTTCATTCTGCAGAACCCACCAAGGGCAAAACTCTGCCTCATGGAAGATCTGAATTGGTGCTACAGAGAATACTGGTCAAAAGCTCCAAGCGGCATCAGATGCTGTGAGCATCTCTATGATTCTGCTGGGAAATCGCAACAGTGCAATGCCACCGTTCAGGGTGGCCATGTGTCCTGCTTTACAGAAGACAGTTCTCTCCTTGAAGAGGTCCACTATTTGGAAGGTTGGCCAGTCAAACTCTGGTTTAAAGATAAGTGCGTACAGAGGAAGAAGCATGGGGGCCTTGAGCCCTTCTTTATTTGCTGGTGCTGAAGTGGGCAGCCCCTGCTATTGCACACAGAAAGAAAAGAAAAGAAATCAGCATTGCTGTGTATTCCTATGTATTCTCCGGACAGCACAAGCAACAATCAGGTGGCTATCAGCAAATTTGGCTTCCGATGTCTTATCCTCAAGGACAGTTAAAAGCTAGTGATAAAAGCTCACTCCAAACAGGGGAGATTTGCAAATGGGGGGGGGGGGGTTGGCTAGCCACCCTCAGCCTGCCCCACAGCCTAACCTGGAACTGGCCGATACAGGGGGCCACTGGCCAAGCGGTCATTTGCCAGGACGCACACGGAGCTGTGTGGTAAGCCAGCAACTGGGAAGGGGAAAGATCTGGCGCCTCCCTGCCTTCTAAATGGATGAAGATGGACAACTGAAAAGGGAAAGCAGAGCTCTTCCCCCCCCCCCCGCACCACCCCCGGCAGAATAGCTGCAATCGCTTGTCACACACGCCCCAGGATAAGCGGCCCCCTGCATCCCGCCAATGCTTGATTACGGGTGTGTTAAATCGGATGGCGAATGACAAGATTGCTCCAGTCCAAACGGCACCATGTTGCATGAGAAGCAGAAATGAAGCGACTTGGCGCGCGGGCATGGAGCAGGCAAACCGGCAAGGTGTGGCCGCCCCCAGGAGGTGGAGGTGGGGGGGATTGCGGAAGAACAGGTGGCAACGAAATGATGAGAGCTCAACCCCCCACCGCCTGCGTTGGCCTCTCCGGTGCAGCCGGCAAAGCGATCTGATCTGCGCAGTGACTGGCATGGGAGGGCAGGGGCAACGGGGCAGCGGGGCAGCGGTGGGAGAAGGTTGGGGGGGGGATTACCCTCGTGTCCTCCAGTTCTTTGAGAAGCCTTTCAGCCTGCGTCTTCTCAAACTGGAGGCTCTGTTCGAGCTCCCGTATTCGGGCATGCTCCAGCTGCGTTTGAGTCTGGTTGCACGTCAGGAAGACAAAAGGAAAGAGAAGAAGAAATGGGACAGTGGAAAACAAGGGGCAGAGGGTTGTGGGGGTGGGGAGAGAGGACACGACAGAAGACTGCAATGTTATTTCCTTTGGAGCACGAGACAAAGAAAGGCAGTTCACAAACAGGGAAAGACGGCCCCCGTCCAAAACGGCAGGGAAGGCCATCCAAACGGAGAGCGTCCCCGCGAGAGAACGGAGAGAGGGGCGATGCAAACACACACAAACCAGCGCTGAGCACGGCGATACACACGCCTGCATCCCGCAATCGGGGGGGGGCCACCCCCTTTCCTGAAATCCATTTCGTGCCCACGGATGAGCCACGCCGGGGGGCCATGCCAGTGTTCGCTGAGTGCTACAACCAGCCCCGAGTCGCTCTGCATCACCAGCGTCGCTCAGGATCTTCCGGGAGGGAAAATCGCCTCTTCCACCTCTTTCCTTCTTCCTCTTGCAAAAATCCCTTGTAGCTTTTCTAAGGAAATGTGTGTCTGGATTTATTCAGTCGGCCCCCAAGGTATGGGGCAGAGGAACCCCATTCCGACACCCTGGGGTGCATTTGCAAACACAGCAAAGCTCGGAAACATTGTAGGGCAAATTGGAGCCATGACAGCAATTCCAGGCTCTCCCCACCTCAATTTGGGCCTGAAGGACCCAGGAAAACTGTTGCAGGTGGGAGATAAATAGTAAGCAAACCCAGCTTGTGAAAGCGGATATATCTGTGCATCTATAAGAGCCTCTGAGCTGTCAAAGAACTTTCTGGACATTTTATGTTTCAAATTACCTCTATGCAAAAGAATTAAGCTTTACATGGGAGCAAGTCCAGCTGGGTTCACTTTGTTTTGGGTTTGAGGAGTCATCTTCTAAATCGGCTTTCTCCAGCGTGGCGCCACCCATGAATCTCTGGACACCTCCCATCATCTCTGGCCAAAATTCCCATGCTGGGAAATGCTAAGCTTTGAAAGGCTTTGTCAACAAATATGCTTCAAGTTTAAGCCTTTGTTTATGAAGGGTCCAGAAGGCAAAAGAAGGTGGTGACACCTTCTTCTCTGAACCCGGATGCAAAATAAGAGTAATTTAAGTGGCAGATACGAGTGGAAATAAAATAGGAGGGAAAATAGCGGTGACTCTAGGAAAGACTTTTGTTGTTTAATTTTTTTTTTAATTTGAACCGTGAGCAAATTACTTCATGAAGAATGATTCCACAGGGACGAAAACAAAAATCGGTACCATCCCAGTATGGACCAGGCACGGCACGGCAACCCGCCCAAAGATCCTCTGCCAAGGTCACTCTGCAACACACACATCACTGCGTTTTTCCAGTTCCTGGCCAAATATCACTCCATGTTTTAAGTATATCAACAGATCTAGGCAAGAAAGCAGATTTCCAGAGGAGAAGGACAAGACCCAATGCCATTTCCTAGCCAGACAGTACATTTTTAAAAAAATGGACATTGCAAATTACCTCCAAGTCTCCCTTTGTAATAGATTCTTCCTCAACACGGAACTGCAAATCTTCTACTTTCCTGAAACGGGGAAAGGTGAAAAACCAAGTTTAGCAGTGCAATCAAATTGACTCTAACTTGTTGGTGCTCGTTACATCACTTCCACCATTTTCAGCCATTTGATTGTGCATTTCACTTTATCAACATATGTATTTATTTATCTTATTTATAGAAACATAGAAACAGAGGGAGTCAGAAGGGGTCTCCCAGGCCATCTAGTCTGAACCCCAGCTCCAGCCGGCTCCACTCACAACATGCCCACCATGTGCAGGTCTAGCCTATCTTTGAACACCCTCACCGATGGGGCCTCAGCCACCTCCCGTGGAAGCCCATTCCACACCCTTGAGGTCCTGACTGTCAGGAGGTGCTTCCTGGCATCCAAATTCAACCTTGGTTCCCTGAGCTTTGCTCAGTTGCAGCACGTCCTGCCTTTCTCTGCAGGGGAGAACAGGTCTCTGCCCATCTCCATGTGACACCCCCTCACATACCTGCATGTCGCCAACAGATCCCCTCTGAGTCTCCTCTTCTCCAGGCAGAAGAGACCCAGTTCCCTCAGTCTTGCCTCACACCCCATCCCCTGCAAACCGGCCACCAACCTTGTGGCCCTACGCTGCACTGACTCCAACCTGGCTATATCCTTTCTGTAACGAGGGGCCCAAAACTGAGCACAATACTCCAGTTGCAGGCACACCAGAGTCACATAGAGTGGTAGTAATACCTCTCTTGATCTAGAAGCCACACTTCTGGCTATGCAACCAAGGGTGGCGTTCGCCCTCTTGACCACCGCATCACACTGCTAGCTCATGTTCAGCCTGCAGTCAACCAGCACCCCGAGGTCCCTTTCACAAGTGCTGCTCTCCAGCCACTTTTCACCTAACCTGTACTTATGACACCCATTCTTATGCCCCAAGTGCAAGACCTTGCACTTATCCACGTTGAACGCCATCCTGTTGTCTCCTGCCCACTTCCATAGTCTGTCCAGATCCTTTTGCATCTGGAGTACCTGCTCCTCAGTTGTGGCCACTGCTCCAGTTTTAGTGTCGCCTGTGAATTTGATCAGCAGACTGTTCACCCCTTCTTCCATGTCGTTAATGAAAAGATGAAACAGGATCGGCCCCAGGACAGAGCCCTGGGGGACCCCACTTGTCACTAGCTGCCATCCCGATGATTCCCCGCTAATGGCTACCTTCTGCTTTCGGTCAGTCAACCATGCCCTAACCCACCGGACAGTGCTTTGGTGTATCCCAGAACTCCTCAGTTTCTCCACCAGGATATCATGGGGCACTTTGTCAAAGGCCTTGCTGAAATCCAGGTATTCCACATCCACTGCATCCCCTCCATCTAGCCATCTCGAAACCTTGTCATAGAATCCCACAAGGTTTGTCTGGCAGGACCTGTTTTTGCGGAAGCCGTGTTGTGTGGCTGTCAGCCTCCCTTCCCTATCTAGCATCACTAGATCTCTCCCTATTATGAGCCTTTCCATTGTTTTTCCTACAATGGACGTAAGGCTAACCGATGTATAATTCCCCATGTCCCTTCTACTACCCTTTTTGAAAATTGGGACCACTGATGCCACCCTCCAGTCCTCTGGAACTTCCTCAAAAATGGAGGCCAGCGGGCGTGAGAGAACCCCTGCCAACTCTCTAAGTGCTCTCGGGTGTAACCCGTCAGGGCCTGGCGCCTTTGTAACATCCAATGCCCTGAGGAGCCCCTCGATTTATCCCACTTTTTTTCTTTCAAGGAACTCAGGGTGGCTTCCATCATCCTCCCCCTCACTTATTCCTACAACAACCCTGCAAGGTAGGCTGAGCTGAGAGTCTGTGACTGGCCCAAAGTCACCCAGTGGGCTCCACGGCTGAGCGGGGACTTGAACCCAGACCTCCTGAGCCCCAGTCCCATACTCTTAACCACTACACCACACTGGCTCTCAGTAGACTTGGAAGGCCTGGGGGGCAAGATAAGGACTAACACAATTTAATCCAGACAAAACAGATGTGTGCCAAGGCATTAGTAAAATACTGAATTTTAAGGAGACCCTGGACTAGCATTATTTAGAGAATACATAGGAGAAAATACTAGAGAACTGATGACAAATTTAGTAACAGCAGTAAGCATAACAGCAAGGAATTGGAAAATAAAGGGTGTTATGAAAGAGATGACTGTTATAAAGAAGTCTGGAATATAGCTGTTCATGATAAGTTAACTTGTGATATTGAATGGAAAAATGGTTTCATAAGTAAAAATAATTTCGAAAATATTTATAGACTGTTATGGAATATATCTTAATAAAAGGAAAGAGGTGTGAAGCCTCACAAGAGTCAGTGCAGTTCTGGAAGGAAAGTTGGAATGAAACAGCCTGAATAAATAAATGATCTTACATTAAGTGGCATGATTTGTTGGTCCTGGTGGAGGTAGCATTATTATTACTGCATTGTTTAATTACATTTATTAGTAGTGTTTAATTATGTTCAGGCTGGGCATCAGGAAAAGCTTCCTCACTGTCAGAGCAATACGGCAGCGGAACCAGCTGCCTGGAGAGGTGGGGGGCTTCCCCGCACTGGAGACATTCAAAAGAAACTGGGCAGCCATCTGAGTGGGGTGGAATAAACTGGTATCCTGCAACAGGAGGGGGGTGGACTGCATGGCCTTCTTGGCCCCTTCCAACTCTACTATTCTATTCTATGTTCATTAAAGGTAAAAGGTAAAGGTTTCCCCTTGACGTGAAGTCCAGTCGTGCCTGACTCTCGGGGGCGGTGCTCATTTCCTTTCCTAGCCAAGGGAGCCAGCGCTTGTCCGCAGACAGTCTCCGTGGTCATGGGGCCGGCAAGAGTATACACCGAGGTGCAGGAACGCTGTTACCTGCCCACCGAAGTGGCGCCTTTTCATCTACTCGCATTTGCATGCTTTTGAACTGCAAGGTGGGCAGGAGCTGGGACGGAGCAACGGGGACTCGCCCCGTTGTGCAGATTCGAACCGGCGACCTTTCGATCTATCAGCCCAGCAGCACAGCGGTTTAAACCACTGCGCCACCTGCATCCCTTTATGTTCATTACTATTATATTAATTGTATTGTTTATGTAAGGTTAGTTATTAAAATTATAATAAAAGTTTTTTAAAAAACAGAAGTGTGTCTAGCCAAGAGGGAGATGGACTCCGAATACACGTTCAGTTCGCACTGGAAAATGTTACATTTGCTCCCAGTTAGGTGGGCAAGGGCACTGTTCCCATCGTTATCAATAAGTTTATTGTTGCAACCGTAGGTCGTAACATAGCTCAGAACGAAAAAGTGCCACAAAATGCCATAAAATAGTAATAATAAAACAGTGAGATAGTAAGAGATAGTGAGATAATAATTATCCATAAGCCGTCCTTGGACGTCTTGTAAAGGACAGGGTATAAATATTGTTAACAAATAAATAAGATTATAAAATAAAATAATAAAAGTTGTAAATAAAAGGCTACAATAAATCAGGGCCAATGCTACAACTAAGAACTTAAATTCTTTCTGAGTTTGAACAAGGCAAAGATGGCAGCACTTTTTTTTGGCACCTGACAAAACCCTTTTTACTCTCCTGTTATTTTAATGTCTAATTGGTTTTAATGTGTTTTATACTGCAAGCTGTGCTATTTTAATTTCTATTTTATTTGTTGTTTGTTGCAAACCAGCCCAAGACACTAGTATAGGGATGGCTTATAAAAGCTTTAAATAAATGAATAAATTTACAAAATAAATTTTATAAAATAAATTATAAAAATAATAAAATAAATTTTATAAGAATAAAAAATAAATTCGTTCATCATTAAAACTTGATGGCTGACAGTTGGGAACATGTCTGCAAGAAGGTAGGTTAGTTTTTCAGGTTTGGGCCCTTATGTGCTTCTACCTTTAATAGTCTGGTCAGAGACATCACCCTGCTGACAAAAGTGCATATACTCAAGGCTGTGGTTTTCCCAGTTGCAATGTATGGCTGTGAAAGCTGGACCATAAGGAAGGCTGAGCGCCGAAGGATTGAGGCCTTTGGATTGTGGTGCTGGCGGAGACTCCCTCGAGTCCCTTGGACCGCAAGGCGATCAAACTGGTCAGTCCTAGAGGAGATCAACCCTGACTGCTCCTTAGAAGGCCAGATGCTGAAGATGAAACTCAAATACTTTGGCCATCTAATGAGAAGGAAGGACTCACAGGAGAAGACCCTGATGCTGAGGATTGACAGCAAAAGAAAAAGGGGAAAGCAGAGGATGGGGTGGCTGGATGGGGTCCCTGGGGCAGTGGGTGTGAGCTTAAGTGGACTCCGGGGGAAGGTGGAGGACAGGAAGGCCTGGAGGAATGTTGTCCGTGGGGTCGCAACAGGTTGGATGCGACTTCATGACTAGCAACAACAAATCTCACCGTAAATGTGGCAGTGGAGGATGTAATGAAGAAATTCCTCCACCTGAGTAGCACCACGGGGTGGAGCATTTGCTCAACCGGAGCTTGCGATATCTCCCTTCAAGATATGCAGAGGTCACTGCCTGCAGGCTCAAAGCCTTTCTCAACGGAGATGTTAGCCAGGTACTGAGAAAACCTCTATGTTTTTCATACTGATGGTACCAAAGTGAAAATCTGGAAGACTGGACTACGGCGGCATCTTTGCTGGCATCCTTTGCAAAAAGCCAATCTCTACTGTTTCCTCTGTCCCAGGATTTGAGTTCACCAGAGGATGGAGGGAAAACATTTGCAGGATGGGGTACAGAGTTTAGTTCATTGATTCCCAGCTGTATAATGGAGAAAACAGCTTGACAAGAAGAAAGTCCTTTTTCTTCAGGATACCTGAAGGAACGCCTCCTTGCTTATATGCCCTCACACCCCTTAAGATCTGCGGGAGAGGCCCTGCTCCGGGAACCTTCCCTAAAAGAGGTAAAAAGGTCATCAACTCGGAGCAGGGCCTTCTCTGCAGTGGCGCCCAGACTCTGGAATGTGCTCCCAGAGAGGTATGCCCGGCGCCAAGCTTATACTCTTTTCGGTGCCAGGTCAAAACCTTTTTATTTACGCAGTATTGTAAGTTAATAGTTTTAATGATTCTTCCAGTCGCTTTTGCTTTGTTTTATTTTGATTTAATCTGATTCAGTTGATGTTTATTTATTGTTGTTTCATGTTTCATATGGTATTACTGTTTTAATCTGTGGGTGGATGTTATTAGATGCTTTAAATTGTTTTTAAATTGCTGTAAGCCATCCTGAGATGTTTATATTAAGGACGGCATACAAAAGCTTTTTTTTTTTTTTTTTTTAAGTCAACCCTGCCTACAAGTTTCCGTTGGGTCAGGACTGGGTTCCAGACTGCGCTCCCCATGGGGCTGCCTTTGAAGAGTCCTTAAACATGGCAACTGGTCCCAAAAGGGGCATGAGCGGTGCTGACCCCGGGTGCTGCCCACTGAGGGGCTTTTCGCAAACCCGCAGGGATGAACTTGGGCCGCTGCGTCGGTCTTCTGTAGCTGCAGCAACAGCACTACAAAAGGTTCGCCAGAAATGGAGTCTATTAGACTTAGATTATTTGCCACTTGCTCCCAGCTTGGGGTTAGATAAAAGTCTGTACATGTGGGGGCTTAGCCATGTTTCCACAGTTTCCCTAAAATACTCTGTATTCTCACTTCTAAGACATGCCAGTGATACGGCTGGTTCCTCGAGTTTGGCATGTGAATTCTCGCCTCTGCAGCTGAGGTTTCCTCTCTCCGGCCTTCATCTATTCCTCCTCACTACTCTGCTTCCAGCCCTGCAGTTTTCTTTAGACTGCCATGGCAGCGAACCGTGTGCCAAGAAGGGAACCCTGCCAACGCCGCAGCTCAGGAGGGGAGTGGAGAGATTTTACACTTTCAAAGTGGTGCAAAAAATCAAGTCTGTTAGATTCAGGAGCTTGGCCGGGTTTCAGGGAAGGTTTGTGCCTGGGTTCAAAATAAGCAAGCTGGTTGGGGGCTTTTTACAGCTCACACAAGCCGGCTCGGCTGCGAAATCCAGTTCAAGCAAGAGTATTTTTCCCTGAGTGTGAAGGCTCGGCCCCGGCACATGGCAGTGGAAACACGCAAAGCTGCACGGCTTGATCGCTTGAGTTCACAGGAGCAGACAGGCGTCCAGTCTTGCCCGGATCTGTTTTGCTGCGAACCACCTTCCCCAGTGCCTCTTACCTTTTCTCCTCCTCTAGCTGGTTCAGCAGCTCCACTTTCTCCTTCTGCGCCCCATCCAGCAAGGCCCTGGACCGCTGCAAATTCGCTTCTACTTCGGCGACATACTAAAAAGAGGGGGAAAGTCCCAATTCACACACTGCACTGGCGTTGAATATCTTGCATATGCATGCAGGTTATTACCTATTAAAAACTTTTTCCTTTTGCAGAGGCGGGCAGGACACGCTCCAACAGAGCCAAGCTCAGGGAGCCAAGGTTCCATTTGGATGCCAGGAAGCACTTCCTGACAGTCGGGACCCCAAGGGCGTGGAATGTGCTTCCACGAGAGGTCGTTGAGGCCCCATTGGTGATAGGCGATCGATGTTCAAGGATAGGCTGGACATGCACATGGTGGGCATCTCGTGAGTGGAGCCAGCTGGAGCCAGGGGTCAGACTAGATGGCCCGCGGAACCCCTTCCGAGTTGCTCTGTTTGTTTCCTCTTCCCTCCTCATTCATTTTTCTTTTGCACTGTGCCTTTTTACATCGTAAAACAAGGGGGATCTCAGGCTTGTGGGTCAAAGCTGAACCTCTTCAAGACCCAATCCTGCCTTCTAGGGTACCCCAAACGGCCCTGCCTCTTCCCTGGCCTGCCCCCCTTTCCCAGGCTGCTAATTGTCTGGGGGTTTCCCGTTGTTTGGGTGTTGTCTGCAAGACCAGCCGGCTCAAACAGACGAGCATTTTTGCTGGTATTGGCATTTACCCCATTTGCGTCTGGCCCATCCCTCAGGACTTTGGCCCAAAATCCGGCTCTTGGACTGAAAGAGGTTCCTAGCCCGTCTTAGACTAACCCAGCAGCCTTGTGCTGACTGCAGGCCGGACACTCCGGGAGCATTTTGGGGTGAAGAGTGACCGGAAAACACCCCGAGAGCTTCAGCTAAGGGTGATGTAGAAGTGGAACAAATAAACCAACCAACCAACAAATAAATAAATGGAATAATGTCCGGAATATTATTATTCTTATTTCCATACTGCCCCGTCGCTGAAGCTCTCCGGGCAACTCACAACCAAATCCAATTCTCTCCGTTCCCTGAACAGATTTTCTGGAGAAGGAAAAAAATGAAGAAATGGTAGGAAACTGTGGGATGCTTAGAACACCTGGGCTGCTCCACCTAAAATGTTGCAAATGAGGCAGGGAATTGCACCACACACCTGGAAGCTTCCTTAGAGGAAGCCACCCAGTTTTGCATCTGTGGAGACAGCAGTGGCAGAAATGCGGGACAAAAGCTGGACCCCTGCCCCGAAATGACGTTACCTTCGCTTCACGTGGTCCAGACACTCCTCGCTTCTACCCCGGCCAGAATTTTTCAGCTGGCCGGGACTGCCCCACAGAACACACCGAAGCACCAGCCCCAAGCGCGGACAGCACCGGGCTGTTTGTGACACGCACTTTTACCCCCGAAGGATTCCCTCACTCCAACAGAGCAACCCCTTTAAGCACAGAGGCCCACAATGTAGATGCCCTTTATGCAAATTGGAGGATTTACACCAAATTGTGCCAGAAATGCTGCTCTTGCCCCCTAGAGCTATTCAGATAGGACATTACTGGTTAAGACCATTGAATTGGATGGGGGAGAGCCAGCTTCGAATCCTACTCAACTGCGAAAGTCAACAGACAGTGCTCTTCTAAGTACTCTGTCCCCATCTCCCTCTCCCCACCTACCTCGCAGGGTTGTTGTGAGCATTCAGGCAGAGGGAGAAAACCAGCACCTGAACTGCCTTGGTAGAGTAACAACAACGACAACTACATACTATACTATGCATACACTACACACACACACACACACACACTACTCTCCCCAAGGAGAGTATACTATACCATACCATACACTATATCGTATATACTGTACTATATATCTGTGTGTGTGTGTGTGTGTTTGCAATACTCTCCTCACGGAGATTTGCCTGGTGCCTTCCTTACTTTCTTTTTGGCACCAGGTAAAAACCTTCCTTTCAAAACTATTTTAATAACTAATTGCCATAGACCTTACATTTTACTGTGTTTTATTATTGTTTTTAATATTTAATATGTTAGCAGTTTTATCATGTTTGCCTGTGTTTCATCTTGCGTTGCAAGCCGCCCAGAGGTGCTACAGCACAATCGGGCGGCATACAAATGTTTAAAATAAATAAATAAATCTTAAGGAATAATCATGTCATTCGCAACATCACTATTATACTGCATGTATATTCTTTCTTCCCCCAGAACCTAAGGAGGCCTACAAGCCTTTCTTTCTCTCCTTTCTTTTCCCTCAACAACCGCCCTGTGAGGTAGGCTGAGGGTCTGTGCCCGGCCCAAAGTCCCCCAGCAGGGACTCGAACCCGGGTCCGCCGAGGCCCAGCCCCTATTCATCTCCGCCGCACCATGGAGTCTCTCCACCCCGACCTCCTCTGGTCCCCTTCTGACCGAGAGAAAGCTCTCCCGAGAGCATCGCGGAGGCAGAAGCACGCTGGACACGCCCCCCCCCCCCCCCGCTGCTGCCGGGCTCGGCTACCTGCTCGTGCTGGGCTTTCAGGATGGCGATCTCCTTCTCCACCTCGCAGATGCGGCTGGTGGCCTTGGCCACCTCGGCTCGCTCCAGGTCCCGCTCGGCCAGCAGCTGCTCGATGTGCTGCTGCTTCTCCTTCAGCGCCTCCTGCAGCGCCGTCGTGCCGGAGATCTTCCGGGCGTAGCGTGAGGAGGTCTCCGTCAGCTGCAGAGGAAGGGCAACGAAGCCTCGGTGGGAAGACGGGCCGGCTCCGCACCTCCTTCCCCAACGCCGCGACCAGCGGAGCATCCAAAGAGCAGCCTCCTTCCTGGGGTGCCCCTTCCTTCAGAGCCGCCCTTCAAACTCACCTTCTCTTTTGCTTATCCCCTTAAACGGGGAAGAACCTAACACTAATGCCGGAAAACCACCCGATCGGCGAAATCTGTCTCGCCTGCACATGCCGCACTGCCTGGAGCGCAGGAGCAGGCGGAGAGGAGGCGCCACTGGAGTGCCCATCAGGGGTAAGCGCAGGAGGAGCGTGGCAACAAGCCGGGGCAGCCGCCACGTGGCCCGGACAGGAGCGCATGCGGCGAGAGAGAAGATTCTCCGCAGAGGAGAGGGAGGAGAGAGGCAGGGGCTTCTCCCTGAGCGAGCGGCAGAGGAAAGGGAAAGTAATGTTTTTCCATGGAGAAGGAAGGTAGGCTAGGAGAAGGAAAAAGGAGGGTGGCGAACCAGGCCAGTGGCGAGCAGACGGTCCAATCGGTGAAGCAACCCGAAGCACGGTCGAAAGGGGCCTGGGTGGGAGCCCCCCCTTAATGCTACCTGGACGGGACGGGCCGAGCCCCTGCCCCCTCCGATCAAGGCCTTGCACGCCACAGCAAAGTACAGACGTGTGATTGCACAGAGAGCACAAAGAACCACCAGGAAAAACCTAACACCGCTGCCCAAGAACGACCAGAACAGGGAAATCTGCCTGGCCTGAGCATGCTGCATTTCATGGAGAGCCGGAGAGAGCTGAGCTGAGCTATTTCTTCCATCTTTAAACGAGCGACAATTAACATGCGTTCTCTCAAAGTGCCAAAAGAACTGTTTGCAGATTGGCCTCAGGAAAGCGTGCAGCGCTGGTGTGGGTACCGATTAGTGCCAAGATAGAAGTTTCCTGGGGTGCTGTTTTGCACAAAAACATTTCTTGTGCAAATGCGATACCCCAAGACACGTGGTTTCACATTATGTGTGTGACTCTCACCAAACCACAAGTTTTGGGGCACCGTTTTGCTCCAGTGCAATCGCTTCCCTGCCAATCAGTACCCGGAAAGCATGGCTTAGCCCCACTTTGGCAAAAAACCCGTGGGCCTTCCTGGACCAGTTGTGAAAATTCTGTTAATGGTTTGAAAAAAGGACGTTAATCATGGTCCATCTTACAGCCCACAAGCTGGCTTGACTCACGCTGCTTATCTGTCTAAATCTGAAATAAGGTCTTTTTTTTACCCTGCGGATGCCTCTAGTCACCCAGGGTGAACGGGTTTTCCAGAACAGGATCCTACAAACCTATTTACCAGAGGGGAGAGAATGAAGCAAGTGTTCACACTACAAGAACTGAATGCGGATTCTCGAGACTTCTCTTTCGCCATCTTTTACGCTATTTTTCAATGCACTTAAACAATCCATAGTTTAAAAAAATGGCTCATAATATCATAGGCATGAGACGAAGAGGAGAAGAAAAAAAAGGGAAGGGAAGGGGAAGGCAACATTTGGGTACTAAATGTGGAAGAAAAGTGACCCAAAAGCAGGTTGATGGGGGGCACTCACTCTTCTGGCCTTCAGACGCAGCCAGATGAAATGGCTTCGGACAGAGGCCATTCTGGGTTGGGAGAATCCAACTGGCATTTTACTTTTGAATCGGTCTTTGAATTTCAGGAGGAGGATGCTGCCAACCCTACCTCCAGCTTTAGAAAAATATGTCCAATGCAGCACCTGAGTCGGGAGAGGGGAGATCGCTTCCTCCCGGGTGCCCCTCAGCCACCGCAGCCTTCAGGAGCCTGGGTAATAATGCGCGGCAGAAGGAAGGGGACCTTACCAGCCCGCTCCGGCTGGGTCTCCCTCCAACAGAAGATGCCACGGAGCTGACGGAGCTGATCGACGAACTGCTGGGGCTGTGGGTCAGGGCCGAGACGCCCATGGCCATCCTCTTACTCTTCTTGGCTTTGGCCGGGCTGGTGGACGGGAAGCCGATCCGGATCACCTTGTGGATAGGAGCAAAGAGGCCGAACTTGGGGGGGCACTGGAAATACCTGCAGCAGAAAGAGAAACAGTGGAGAAGACATTTCAGCTGTTCCCGAGTCCCAGGCACTTAATGCCACACTCATCTTCTCCCACAGGGACACGCTCAGTTCACCGCCATTGGCCACCACTCTTTTGGGGGGCTTTCTTAGTGGCAGCACCAAAAAAGCGGGATTTCCTTCCCAGAGAGTCTTGCCTGGCTCCATCCCTGCTTAGCTTTAGCCAAGAAGAGCAACACTGATCCATTGCAATCCACAGAGGAATATACTTCCAACTGTACCCACTGCCTATGTTATGTCTAATGAAATTTAAAAATCTACTAACAGGGCCGTCTCTGGAGCAGGGGCAATAACCAAGCTGACAAAATGGCTCCAAGACAGAGGACCACTTCCTGGCAGGCGATCGGACTGGCTCTGTTTGCAAAAGGGGTTTCTCTCCTTTTGCAAACAGCACATTCAATTCAGATTCAAATGCTGCCAAGGAGCCGGGGAAGAAGTCCCAGAAAGGCGCTACAGAGACGTCAGAAGTGTCTGCCAAGATCAGTTGTTGCCCCCTTGCTCTGAAGTCTGCCTTTCCTCTCAAGCAGCAGCCCCCAATGGCTTCCATCACACAACACCAAAATGCCGCCATTGAAAAGACAACCCAAAAATGCGGAAACTCCCCTGACACTTGACATGTTACGATAAAGCTCTAATTAAAACTTTCTGTGTGGTATTGACGGATCCACTCTCGGTTAACAACAACAATTGCATAGACGTGCTTGTTTTTGAGCAAGACTTCATCGCTCCGTCACCTGGCTTCACACCTGGGATTTTGCTGGAGACCTAAATGATTGTGACACCCCCTCATATCAGCCCCCAAACCTTTTCCCTTTCTTTCCATTAAGAAAGGATGGGTCAGAGACTCCTCATTGGTAGCACCAGAACACCTCTGTGTGGCAGGACCAAATATATGAATAAATGAGGGGGCAGGAAAATCCCATTAACTTTAGCCAAAATCTACATTTTCTCCCTCATTCCAGCAGCCAGTATAGGAAGCATGGAAGTGCTGAAGCCAAGGGAACTGGGGAAACGTGAGCAGAAAAGAGAGGCGCCTTAACACGACTGGAAAGTGAGAGCCGGCAAAACCAAGCTAAGCTAATGTTGTGCTGTCATATTATCTTTGCAGAAAACTGCAAAAGCAAGCAGTAATTTGTCTAGGCACCAGGGTCGCTGGCCCAGATGTGGGCAGTTGTTCCAGAACCCGCCTCACATCGGTAGGATTTCGGCTCACACCTGTTCTGGGTTGTCTGTCTGAAGAGAGGCAGGCACAGCTTGGGAATAATAAACTCAGCTGAAGGGACATTTCTCCGGGGGAGAAAACGCAAGCGTTGACAGCAGCTGTCCAAGTCCATCTCTCCCTAATCGACTTAATCCCCCTCAAAATGGCTCTGGCAGTTAGTCCCGGGTGATAGATCAAGAAGGTCGAGTGAGTTACAGGCACCTTTCGACCTGTGGTTGTTTCCTTGCTCTCCGTAACAGTTCCAAGCATGGCAGGATACACCCAATTCCCATAGGACGTGGTCCACCCATGTCCAGACTGCACCACTTCAGAGAGCAGGTGGAGAAGGCTCACCAAAGCCAGGGCTTCTCCAGGTGGAGGAAAACCTTGCACACAGAAAGCAAGCACTGCAGGCTGAGCTAGTCTACCCTGAGGTGCTAGATTGCTATGTGAAGGGAGTTTTTTAAAAATTCTGGAGCAATCTTCTGTCTGTCATGTAAGCCCCCCACTCCTGCAATTCCAAGTGGTACAGTCCTGAAAGAAGTCTACCGTATCTGTGAGAAGCAGGTTAGATGAACTATGAACCTCTTTGTTAAGTTCTAGGACCTTCTGCTACAGTTAAATATGATCCCAGCGGCAAGAATCAGTTGCCCAAAAGGGGGGAGGGCAAGGGGACACCACCGCTGAGGGCCCTACAGGGGTGCTGCAGGCAGACTCCAGGATAGGACCGCAAGTGATGCATAAATACCGTGTTCCTGCAACCGCACCGTCATTCTTCCCCAAAGGTTCGTCCAACTCAACTCCACACCATTCCCCTTTGGCAAAATCAGTTTCCCCCACGTAGCGTACCACACCAGTTTTGGTTCCGCCAACCTGTTAAATCATGGGGAGAGAAAGAGAGGAAAAAGCCATCATTTTATCATTTTATTCTATTTTACAAGAATAGGGAAAAGAGACAGAAATCAGTAACAGGTCCATATCTGGTCAGAGTTTGGATAGTAAAAGAAAGAGGAGGGGGGAATCAACCTTGTTTTTTTAATGGAACGCTTCTTTCAAAAAGAACTACAAAAAGAAAATCACGCAATCTGTTAAGAAACCAGGACAAGCCTAATCAAGATAGGGAAATGAGACTGAAATCAGTCATGGGTGCATACGGTGTCACGGGGCCTGACAGCAAAACCAAACGATTTTTACATCGCAAAAAAACCCAATTCTACTCCAACTGATTCAACATGCTTTTGAACAGTTGTCACCCCTACTGGGTCAGCGTTCTGTCACTAGAAGCATTTTATGTCGCAAAACATATCTAGGCAGTTCAGAGCATAAATTGCACGACCCCAGAAAAACCCCGCCTGGTTTGGTATTCCAGTCACGGTACGCAGAGCAAAAATGATGAGATGGGGGCAAAATACAGAAGAGCATCCAAACGCCAGCTGGCCAGCGAACAGGTGGCATCGAGGGCCACAATTACTAATGCTGCCCAAATACATGCACAGCTTTTCCCTGTCTGCTTTATTTAAAAGTTTGCTGACCATTTGGTCAAGTAGAATAGGCCCCATTGAATGCGAGGTATTTGCTGATGGCCAACAAGGGAGAACATTCCGAGTTGACAGGAACAATGCTGCTGCGCCAATCAAACAAATTTTTCCACTATTCTTTTTGTTTCGTTTCACTGGTGAAGGGCATGTCCCAGATGGAGGATGGCGACTAGAAGGCCTTTTCTAAATCAGCAGGGATCGCCCGCCAGGACCAAACACACCTTTTGGCACAGAAATAGTTTGACACCCAACTGCAGCCGAATTGATATCTGAGTTTTTGAGCTCGGTAGAACATGAAGACATTTTCCTTGGGAATGACGAAGCAATATACAGTATGTTCTTCGCTTCGGGAGGAGCAGATGCTTTTTTATAGATTCTCACCCATTTTTACCCACAACATAGACAAGATAACCTTAAGATAGTCAAAATCAGCCTCTCCAAACCACAAAGCCACATATTAGCCACCTCCCTGTCCCTCTCCCCAAGATTTATTTTTTAGCATGCTCCGAAGTTTAAATGTTGGTCTCCTCTTTGGCTGCCTTCCAGCTACTTGCAGCTGCGAAATGTCATTTTATAAAACTTGATCAGGTCCGCTTTCACTGCCACCCACCCAAAGCTCAAGGTTCTGGGTATTTGGTTGCCCTTTTTGGCACCATTTTCATGGGCCTTCAAGAGCTACTGAGACCTACAAAATTATGAGTTAAGTTGTGCTTATTCACAACCACAGAGTCTTCTTGCAGCACCTTAAAGAGGAACGCAAACACTTATGCCAGGAGAAATGTGTTGGTCTTTAATGTGTGATGAGACTTTGATGCTTTTGCTGCCACAACAGGCCTTAGCAGCTGCTCTAAAAACTGTGATCATGGAGACGTGGAGAGTTTTGCATGGAAATCTTTTTCTGTGCAGCTTCAAAGATGCTTCTAGAATTGGGCTTTTTCCCCCCAATTAAATTACTTCATCAACTCCAAAGCAGAGGTGGGTTTTCACAAAAGTCTCCAAATGCAAGAGAGAGGGAGAGAGACTGACTGTCTTTTGGGCACGCCTTGTGAGAAGCAACATGAAAATAATCCCTTTGAGAGCCAGAAGGAGAGCAAAACCCTAAAATTACTGTGTCCTGTAATTGTGGGGCAGTCAGAGTTCCAACACTGCCTACACACTCAGCTTTGCCATGGGCCAATTTACAACACTTTGATGAGATGAGCAAAAAACAGAAGCTTAGAATCGCATGTTTGTGCACAAATCAGGAAACAAAGGTTGAGTGTAGCTATGTATCAGCGCGAGAACCTACTTCCTATGAGGCTCAGACTTCCAAGCTGCAGTGGAAGTTGTTCCTCTGAGCATACCTAGGGGGCTGCCTAGTGCCAGTCCCACTTTCTCAGGGACAGGTTGGTTTCCTTGACCCGCCACTGGGAAACGACTCCCTTGTTTTGCTGCAGGAAAAAGCAAACGTGCTTGTGCAGCTTGCAAGAATTCAGAGCCCAGCTCCAGAGAGTCTCTAGAGCAGAAATCTCAGAACCAAGAGTAGGGGCAACTCGTTCTCCGGAGAACATACAAGCACACACACGAGCCCAAATCATTCAAGGGTTGTTGCATTTTCTGGCAGAGCTTCTGACAGCAGCACGTAGCCACCTAGCCTTCCAGGGCGCTGACGGACCAGCAACTGCGGAGTACCAGTGAAATGCTGGCTTGCATGTCAACTGCGAGAAGCCAAGGAAGCCAAAGTGGGTAGAAGATTGGTGTTTTTAGACATGGGACCTGCAACCAAATGTTGCAGCATCTTCTCATTCATTGACACAGATGTGCACAATTTGTGAGCACCCTGAAGTTTTGGACAACAACTCCCATTATCCCCTACATTGGCTAGGCTGACTAGGACTAATCCCTAATTATAGCCTTAGGGTGGCCTTTACCGGCCTTCGTTTCCAAACCACGTATCCAGCATTACTCTCCCGGTTGCTATTCTCCTCTTCCAATGGAGAAGCGTGTCTGCATCTGTGGATCACCCGAAGGAGAGGGCCTCTTGCGCTATATCCTTCACCGTTCGTTATATTTCCTAGGGAAATATTTTTCTCTAGTGCACTACCCGCCTTTAACGCCTCCCCCGATTCTGAGAAACCAGAGTTTTGCTGGCGGATGCTGATGCGCACGTCTCTTATCAAGTTTCTCCTTTTGCTCTGGCAGCCAAAAAGAGCAGAGCTGGGGAGGCTGTGGAGGGGACACCTGACTTACACCTGGTCTGTCTTTTAGTATTATGTTTTGATTTAGGGTTTTATTTGTTAATCCAATGTTTTAGCCTATGGCTATATGCCATAAACTGACTGACTGACTAGGACTGGTGGGATTTGGAGCAGCAACTTCTCAGCTTGTACAAGTTGCTTTTTTAAAAGGTGGCTGTATTCACACATCGTGACCAGAGAGACACTTGTTTAAGTAATTTGTTTTATCATGGCTTTCATCCGCCCCACTCGGTTCTCCCACTGTTGGCATGTGTCCCATCGGCTCCTGTGCCTGAAATTCAATCCCAAGGTGCATCGCTCCCTGCTAGGCCCTCACTGGTCCACGCACAGAGGCTGGATGGATAGAGAGGCCCCTGCAGTTGCCACTCTTTGCAGAGGACTCTGTGGTAGCCATGTACCAGAGCCATGGAAACCATGATGCCCGGTTCAGACAGTGTGACAAGCCATGATGGAAAAACTGTAAAACAAATTGTTATTTCTTATGGTTCCTAAAGACCCAACTCACCATGGTGAAATACCATAACTGGGTTCAAACATGACAGACAGAATGGTAAAAATCCACCATGGCTTCTTGTGTTGTCTGAACGCAGCCATTGTTTGCACCTTGGTGTTCCTTCCCCCAGCTCCCAGGAAGCTGTACTTGGCGATCGGGTGTGGCTCCATCTCCAAAGGCCCTCTTGGTGCCCAAAAACCAGAAGGCCCCGCCTTGCTAGAGGGGAGCTTGAGCTGGCTGGTGTTTTCCGATGCCGTGCAGACAGATTGGGCTGGCTGCAATTACCTTTGCAATGCCTCATTCTGAGGTCACGAGAATATAACTGCAGAGGGCATTTTCCTCTGGTGCTCGTCAATTTTGCATCTTTACTAAACTCTCAAATTAGGGGTTTTCTTAAGTTCAATTTACACGAGCTGGGAAGGGCAGGAAAATGTCATTTGTGTGATTATTATACAAGGCATTTCCAGACAAGAGAAAGCAACTTTGGCTGCAGAACTGAGGGCTGAAGAGGAGAGGAGGGAGGAATTCTGAGAGCTTTTCTTTTTTTAAATGTCACTATTAAAAAAGTTTGGGGCAGTCCCCTTTTTCTGTGTTTTTTCATGCAAATCAGTGTTTTAGAGCAGTGTTTCCCACAGCGCTGCTGCTCTCCAGATGCCCTGGCCGACAACTCCCATAACCCCTCAGTTACACAGCAACCGGGGGATGATGCGAGTTTTACTCTGGGGGACACCCAGACGGATAGGGATTCTGTTGTGGCCAGTTGATAAAATTGTTAAAACGTACAAACAGCAATAGCAATTGTGCAAGCAGTTGTGCATTTTGCTTGCACAAACATGCAAAATAGGTGGTGAACACATACAGGACTTGTGCAAACATAAAATGCAGCAGTGCAAGGAAAGACAAACTGGCAACTGGATCCTTGGTTCAACCCAGATGTTTTCTAGGCGTTTTGCATGTCTGAAACACTAAAATATCTGTGAGAGAGTGCTCTTATCTTTGCAAATTGCAAGCTTTTTTTTTTTGCAAGCATCTGTCCACAGACTGAGCTGCCAATGAGTGTCAAAGAGAGGAGGTGAAGAACCAAAAACTCTTAATTTCCATGCCTGACTGACTAAACTTAAGATAATCATATATTCTGCCTCAGGAGAAATTTTTAATGCAAGTACCACGGGGCAGAAAACATCCTTCAATACTCTGCATGTGCCAGGCCGAAGGACGGCCCTCTGAGAGAATAAGGGGCGGCTGCCACCAAACGTTGCAATAGGGAGAAGGGCTGTAAACAAAACAGAAACACTTCCTTTGTTTGTCTGATTCAGACGCAGAGGTATAAATCAAGCAAAGTTTAAAGTCTGGTTTTCTTTTGCTAAATTATCTAGCGGAAGATCTTTCCTTCCACGTACATCCCCAGCAAGGAGACAGACATGCAGCCTAAATTAAGTATCGAACTTCCTCTACTATTTTCAGATAGTGGCACAATTCTCAGGAATGGTTTGCATCTGCCTCTTTTCCGTTCACTGGACACCCCTTGCCCTCTGCACGGTGAAACAGTCGCCAATTCCTGCAGGAACCATTCTGATTTAATTCCTTCATTCTGTAAATGTTTTAATGAAGTAAAGGATTTTTTTTTTTAAAAAAAATCACCATGTTTGTCCTGCATTATGTCATCCAAATAGGAGATCATGTTCCCTTGCTGCTTGTCTCCAGCACCAGGCATCCTCAGGTAGATTGCTCCTCAATCTGGAGGTTCCATTTAGCTATTTGGACAGACACGAGGAGCTTCTGAAAGCAGGAACTTCAGAGAAGCAGAGCTACGAGGAGTTTGTGGGGGAGAGCGGAAGATTATGTGGGCGAGACGTCCATTTTCCACACCTTTTGCGGATGGGAATGACCTAAGGCTAACGGAGGAGGGGAACGGCGACAACTGTCCATTTACGTTCTTTATTGGGCCAATGAGCATGATCTGGGCTGGAAACAAAGCCCAGTGAGGAAAGACTGGGAGAACTGGGCCTGTCCAGCCTTGTGGAGAGAAGACTGGGTGCGGGGGGGGCATGAGACCCCTCTAGGAGTCCCTCCAAGGCTGTCACAGAGAGAAAGGCCAAGATCCCTTCTTGCTGATGCCAGAGCACAGGACACGGAAGAACGGGCTCAAGTTACAGGGAGCCAGATTCTGGCTGGATATCTGGAAAAATTTCCTGACTGTTAGAGCAATTCAACAATGGAACCAAAGACCTAGGGAAAAGGTGGGCTCTCCCACATTAGAGACTGGGCAGCCCTCTGAGGAGGTGGCTGAACTGGGAGGCCTGCACCAGCAGGGGGTTGGACCCGATGGCCTTCTTGGCCCCTTCCAACTTTCATATTCTCTGGTCCTGCGATTCGACAGTCATTTTCATGTTGAATGCTTTTGTAAATAACACACTTGTGGCAACAAACCTGCAATTAACAAGTGAGCTAAACTTAAGAACAGCTGAGGACCGGAAGGAAAAGAACCACAAAAGCAAGCAGCGGAAAAGCCACTCCTTCCCCCAATCGGCCGCCGCTCCGCAACGTAGCCAACAGCAAGGCCCATCAGCCACAGCCAGCAGGGTCACTGCATCACAGAACCAGGGGGAGAGAGTGCTCCGGGTCTATTCCTGGTTGCAGGAAAGAGAGCAAAGACAGGGTGACCTCAGCTGTCTCTCCTTAAACTGCTTGCACTGCACAGGAAGCCCGGCAGCCGCTCCTCGGACGACGGCGGGGACTGGGCAGGACTCCGTGCCACACAGCTCAGCAATTTTTGCCCGCCAGGCGCTGGCTGGCGTTGGGCCTGTGGCATCCCTTCAGCAGCAGAACTAAAAGGCCAGGGACTTCGGAACAGGTCCACACAGGGAGCAGAAGCCGCCATGCGTGCAGCTTTCCACATTTCTGCGTGCTGGTGAATAATCCCAGTGCAAACCCGAACGAGCAAAGGGGATGCTCACAGGCGACAGCCGGAGGACAACCCTATAAGCAACAGGGTGTCCCCAGAGAGGTTCGCCTGGCACCGGCGTTCCCTTCTTTTCAGCACCAAGCCCTTATGATTTCCCCAGCATTTTAAGGTTTAGATTGTGATTTTAATTGGGGTTTTATCATACAGAATTGATGCTGGGCTTCACTGTTTTATTGTAAGACTGGCCCAAGACTAACGGGGAGTGGATGGTATAGAAAAGTTCTAAATAAATAAATACACTGTCCGAACCCAAAGAGAGGGGGGTGGGTTTCAACCTGAGGACTGCCCTGCCCGATGCAAATCACAAGGCTACTCTGCAAGCAAGAGACTGGAGCACCTCGGCAGCTCGGGAGAATTTCAGGGGCAAGTCCTTCGACTGAGAAACATCAGCCTGGCACAACTGCTGTCTAGTGAGCCCTGGCTACCACAATACTTCAATTCCTGCTAGGAGATCCGGGAAAATCTATCCTTTCCAACAGGCCATGCCGAAGGAGATGAGAGAGAGAAGCAGAGCCGTTCCACGGACCCTGCAAAGGACTTATTTTGTCCTCTGCCCTCCCCATCCATTTTTCTCTGCATCCTGCGTCTTTTCAGGGTGCAAGCCCATGGGCGGTAAAACGATCTTGCTTTGCTGATTACGTAGCCAATGCAAGAACAAGAATAATATCACTGCAAAACATTCATTACGCTAACTCAAAGGTCACAAGGGCTACGATGCAGGGAAGATCATATTTAAAGCATGTCAAGCCATCTGCAAATAACAGGATAATTAATCTTTTTTTTTAAAGAGCACCTTTCCAACTTATAAGCTACTCTTGCATGGCCCCTTTCTTTCTTCAGCCACCCAACCAATTTTGCAGCCGAAATTCCAACACAGAGAATTAAGTATTTGCAATGCTCAGGCACGGCTCATTCTAAAAATTCAGCACCGAGAGCCTCCAACAGCTCTGGCGGTTCATTGGCGGTTAGAGGAAGAGCGACGCGACTTACGAGGACACGGTCTCCGAGCCGGAAGTCTTTGTCCCCCTTCTTCACTGACCCGCTGTCGGACAGGTTGGACCCGGATTCGTTCCCGGTCTTCATGGTGCTGTTAAGCACGCTCTCCCGCAGCGGGATGACGCGGGTGGAGAGGGGCGGCGTGGAGGTCCCCGAGTGAAGGGACAAGTTCTGGGCCGTCAGGGACTCCACGGAATGGGCATCGCTCCCGGAGCCCTCTGCCGTGGGCTGGCGGGTCAGCTTGGAGGGCCGCGTGAAGATCCCCTGCAGGGGCTGGCACTCGAAGTAGCGGACGCTGCCCACGGAGCCATCGTTCTTGCCCACCGGGTCATCCAAAACCACTCCTGCCCACTGTCCCGGGGCAAACTGGGTCTCTCCAAGATACTGGATCACGCCGGGCTTCACTCCGTTGACCCAGACGCGTTCGCCCACCACGAAGTCCCCCAGGAATTCGTCGCCCACTTCGGCCACTTTGGACCCCGCCGGCTTCTCGGAGGCAGTGGTAGAAGATGTCGAACCTTGCTTGTGCAGAGGAGACCCTGCAAAATCCAGGAAGGGGAAACAAGGTTGTGTGAACATTCAGCTTTCGGCAAGGAGCGTCTTCCCCTAAAGGTTGGAGAAGACAGACACCCATGCTTTCCAAGAGTAGGAAGCAAGAAAAGATATCTCCATTTGTGCATATTTTATTTATTTTTACTTAAAAGTTTTTTAGAACGTCCCTTACCGTAGTCTCGGGACGGTTGAACAAAGTTAAACATATCCATCATCAGCATCTCAGAGTTGCTCTTTTTGTGTTTGGCTTTTTGTTCTTGCGCGATCTTTTGTTGAATTTGTTATAGATCGTTTTATTGTTTTTAATAGTATGTACTGTGAGCCGTCCCGAGATGCCAATGGCATGTGCTGACAGCATACAAAAGTTTTAAATAAATAATAATAAATAAATATCCATCAACCCTTGGTGGAGTCACGTGGCAGGACTTCTGGGGAGAAGTCCAGTTTTGGCAGAGGTCCCACAGATACACCAGAGGAGACTTAACATGTATTGACGTAGTTAAAGGCACCTCTTCCACTATTAGTTTATTGTTTAGTCCCCAAGCCATGTCCAACCCTTCATGACCCCATGAACAACCCTCCTCCAGGCTCTCCTGTCCTCCTCCATCCCCCAGAGTCCACCCAGCCCCACACCCACCGCCCCAGTGACCCCATCCAGCCACCCCATCCTCTGCCGTCCCTTCCCCTTTTGCCGTCAATCATTCCTGGCATCAGGCTCTTCTCCAGCAAGTCCTCCCTTCTTACTAGGTGGCCAAAGTATAGCAGGTCAGGTACTAAAGCTGAACCTCAAAGAGCAGTCAAGGCTGGTTTCCTTTAGGATCGACTGATGGGATCTTTTTGCAGTCCAAGGGACTCTTGGGAGTCTCCTCCTACCAATAACCATCCCATAGATCACAAAAGTGTGGGGCACGGGGCAGTTTGGCCAGTGCTAGCCACCACACTGGGCAGGTTCACACGACATGACAACCCACCCAAGCCGCAGTCGATTGGTTGGTTCGGGGACAACCCACAGTGCACCTGAGAGAGCTTCGCAAGGGCTGTTTGCTTCCTTCTTTCCTCTCGGTCCTTCAAGCAGTATCCCAAAAACTTCACAGGGGGTTCACAGAGTCGTTTCTTCTCTCTACCATGTTCAGGAGCTGTTTTTGGCTCCCAGCATCTTTTCTGCACTTTAAAGGGTTTTCAAAATAATTTTGGAGACTGCAAAACCTGGCTTGAAAGCCAGCTTGCACGATCCTCATTTTAACAACCGCTGACGCGCCTTTCAAAGCGCCCAAGCGGCACTTTGGCGGGCCTGCTGGGTCTTTTTATTATTCTTATGTTTTGAGCACAGAAACTGTGCCCAAGGAGGCATGCATTATTCAAACAAAAGAAGAAGATGAGCAGCAAAAGGGTGGAACTCAGACGTTCGCAGCTATGCTAGGGCGGAATCCGATGCCTTCATTTGGAGCAACGTCAAGGAGCAGAGCAAAATCCAACCCAGGCCATTTGCCCGAGAGAGGATTCCAGTTTTTTCCCTTCAAAAGGCAAGCTATCAAGAGAAGGCAAAGGCAGAAGTGATCATTCTCAGAAAGGGGGGAGGGGCATTTACATCCCCTTCAAGAAAAACACCCCGTTCTTTTCCCCCCTTACATTCCTCAGGGTGGGCCTGACTTTGCACTTTCCTCCAAGGCTGTGGGGACTTGCAAAGCTGCAAAAGTGTCTCCCACTTCTTTTTTCAGGGGAAAGGGAATTATGACAGCTTTGACAGCAGCTGTCAAAACTTAGGGTCCCCTTTAAAAAGTGACGTGTGGCTGTCAGAATCCTCTTTCCCAAGATTATCATGGGAGGTACCTTTACACTTTCCCAAAAACTTTGGCAGTGGCTTCCACCCCCAACAATATTCTAGTGGATGCTTCAAATTCCTGCCTTTGCAAAGATCCTCCTCCACCTTCAGACGCCGGGGAGCATACGAGTTGCACGCCTGTGCTAAATGCACACACAAGGCTGCACTTGCTTAAGGATGCTCCAACAGACTTCCTGGAATCTTCTTTCTCAACTCTGTGAACTTTGCCGATTCCTCCGGCTCTCTGGAGGAATTTAAACGAGCCTGACAGCCTAAGCCACCCCATGCCCAAGACGAGCTGAAAAGATCTCCCACCTATAACATGCCAAAAGCAGTGCCTGGAGCGCGAAAGCAAACGGTGGGATGCTCCAATGGGTGCCGTGTGTTCCTAGCAAGCTTTCAGCTCCAGTGAGCATCCGGAATACGAATTAAAGGCACAAATGAGCTTTCACTTACAGGCCTGTAAGCAGCAGCCTGTGGTCACAAGCCTGGCCGAAGGGCGATGGCTGGAGGGAAACACCAATTCATCTGGAAAGGGAGAGGGCTGGGCAGCCAGGACACAGCCCTGCTCTTCGCCCTTCCACTCCCAGCACCCGCAGAATGGGGAGTGACACGCTGTGTCCGAACGGCCAGCGGTCAGGAGGAGGAGAAACAGGCATGGCAGCCTGCGACTAGGGCTCTCTGGGTAAGATGGAGGAGAAAAGCTTCCCCTGAAAGCACCGCAAGAACCAGCTTGTTCTCAAAACAGAAACAGAGCGAGTCAGAAGGGGTCTCCCGGGCCATCTAGTCTGACCCTGGCTCCAGCCAGCTCCACTCACAGCATGCCCACCATGCATGTCCAGCCTGTCCTTGAACACCCGCACCAATGCGGCCTCAGCCACCTCCAGGGGAAGCCCATTCCACGCCCTTGGGGTCCTCACCGTCAGGAAGGGCTTCCTGGCATCTTGGATCCCTGAGCTTGGCTCCATTGGAGCGCATCCTGCCCTCCTCCGCAGAGACCCACCGTGCATGACACCCCCTCACATACCTGCACATCGCTCACAGGTCCCCTCTGAGCCTCCTCCTCTCCAGGCTGAAAAGACCCAGCCCCCTCAGCCTCTCCTCACAAAAAGGCCGGCCACTGCTCCTGCACGAAGCCACCAGCGAGTGCCACGGCTGAGCCGGGACCAGAGCCTGGGGCTCCCAGATCGCCAGTCCAGCGCTCAGACCAGAGCAGCTCCAATGTCCCAGGACAAGAGCAAAGAGGGGGAAAGCACAGCATCTGAAGCACAGGGGCCCGTCCTGAAGGGCGGCTGCCCTTCGTGGCAGGACCCAGGCCCAAGCCCTGGCAGCTCCAAGTTTCAAAGAAAGTAGGTAGCAAGGGAGGGAAGCCAGAGCCGGCGTCAGGGTTCGGCATGATCGGTACCTGCGCAGGGCCCGCTCCAACAGGAGACTCTCTCCCCTGGCCACCTGCTGCCAAAGGTGCCTCTGGCTCCAGCCCAGACACCGAGGGAGATCAGACGGAGAAGCAGGGCCTGCCTCAAGCGAGCCCTTAGGGAGGATGATTTGGGGACTGGAAATGACAAGGAGAGATGGAAAGAACTGGGCACGTTCAGCCTCGAGAAGAGAAGACTGAACGGGACGTGATATCGCTCCATAAGTACCTCAAAGAGGAAGGACAAGATCTCTCCTCGATCATCCTGGAGTGCAGGACACGGAATAATGGGCTCAAGTGCCAGGAAGCCCAATGCCGGTGGGACATCAGGAAAAAATTCCAGACTGTTACAGCAGGATGAGAATTTGACCAAGGGAGGTTGTGGACAACAGGAAAGACACTAGAAATCCCCCCTTTGTGGCCAGTTCCTCCAGGACCACAGACAAATCCAGCTGCTGGGAGGATGGGTGTTATCAGCCCGGTCGGTCGGAGGAACCCCAGGGCCAAACAGGCTGTGACTTGAACCCTTCCTTGATAAAAGAAAAGACAAGCCCAGTGCAGCGGGTGCGGAATGCTTCCCTGGGAGCAAACGGCGGGAGCACGTTCCCTTGTGGTTCAGCTCGCAGATCTCGAATCCTGGCAGCTGGCAAAGAGGTGCGTGTTAAGGGCGTGTACGTTTAATTAAATAATTCCTTCGCTTTTTAAGAAGTTCTGTAGTAGAGAACAAGCGGGGAAGCAGAGGGGCGCTTCCTGAAGGCTAGAAAGATGCTCCCAACTGAAACTGGCTCCCATCCACCCTGGATGGAAGGACGGAAATGGCCGATCAAGCGTGCCTTCTACACCAGGCCATGCGGGATGCTACCTCCCATCATCCCTGCCATTTCACTGTGCTGGAAGTTGGCGTTCTGGAGGGCTATACGTTGACATGGCCCGGCGGGGTGGGGGTGGGGATCTCCAGGGTCTGAACCAGGAGTCTTTCCCAGCTATGCCCAGAATCATCTGTGGCTGAACCTCTGACAGATAAACCACGTTCTCAGTTGCATCTCTTCCTCAGATTTGTGCTCAGAGATGGCACACAAAGTCCCGGGCGATGAGAGGGACAGGAATCGCAAGATATTTGTTATGGGGCAATGCTGCAATGAGGCTGGCACTTACCCCCCTCCCCCCGAAGGACTGCATTTTCAGTTCATTCAAAGGCCAGGAGGAGAGCTGCAAACTGCACTGAACTTTAGCATTCGGGGCTTCTGGGGGAGCGTGCGGAAAGCGCCGGGCAAAGTTTGGCTGGAGGGGACGAGGGCACTTTGTCTTGCCACCTGGCAGCTTTGCGACGAGGATACAGCAAGCCACCCTGAGATGCTTGCAGGGGACGGGATAGGAAAGCTTTTAATAAATAAATAAAATAAGGAAATAACCAGAGGCTTAAAAAGACATTACGTTCAGAACAAAGCGGAAAACACAAAGAAAGAGGTGGAGAGAAAGTACTGGGAGGTCCATCAAGCTGAAAGCCCAGCTGCTTTCCATGAAGGATAAAATGCACGTTTTATGATGCTGGGGAGACATGCCCTTCCATTAGTGCTCTTTACAGCACTGGCTTGGTGCCCTTTTGGGCACGAAAACCCTGCCTTTTCAAGGTTAGATCAGGCGAACGGACAAAACGCCACCCTCACTTTCTAGGTCCGGGGGTCCAATCCTAGCTAGGCTAGCCAGGAGCATGTGTTCCTTTGCAGGACTACCCCATCCATGTTCCATTTCAAGATGACCCCTTTTGAAAAAATGAAAACGCCTCAATAATAGCTACAAATCCAGAAGACTGGAACGGTGAGCAAATAAAAAAGAGTTTTTCTCCAATAAATAGAAGTAAAATTTGCAAGCTTTGGTGGTGAGCAGAACATATCAAAAAGTCTCCAGAACCCTGTTAGGCAGGGGAAGGCCAAAACTGTCCACCCTCACTGATATTTTCTGCTTAAATGGGCGCAGGATTGCACCTGAAATACAGCTTAGATTCTTTGAAGCGTTGTACCTTATTCCAGCTCAGCACAGCCGTTGCCTGGGATGACAAGGAGCTAGGATTAAATTAACTTCTGAGCAAAGAATTGGATAGAACCCTGTGGGTAATTCCTCCTGCTGCTGCCAGGACTGAGACGTTTGGAAGAATTTCCACTATTTAAGAAAGCTTAAAACTTGTCGTGCAAAGTCCTGGAATTTCTAGGTGGGGGTGGATTGTGCAGGGAAGAGTGGGGACCCTTCCTCATCTTCATCTTCTCCATGTTGGTGGTGGTCCCTACATCTGGAAAGCCCATGGGTCCACCTTCCCCAACCTGGTGACCTCCAAATTTTGGGGGCTTCAGCTCCCACCAGCACAGACACTGGAAGAAACACTGATTGTCCGAGGCCGATTTGGATGGCAGCAGGTTTGCTCGGCACAGAGGGGAAAGTCCGTCATTTCATCTGCCCAAATCTCCAACTATTTACAATTCAGGGATGACCCCACTGGGTGCTAGCAAGATGCGAGCAGGAGACAGGCCTTTCCCCTCCCGACTGGCTCCACCTCCAGCGTAACTTCACGCATCTCCGTCAGGTCCCCAGTGCTCACCCTTGTCCCCTACATTTACCTGCCTCCCCGGCAGAAGGACAGAAGCAAGGCAAAGGCCCTCTCCACGTTCGAACCGTCCCAGGCAGGGGAAGTGCCCCAGCGCAGGGCGCAGGCGGGCTTTCAAACGGGTCGGGACCATCGCAGAAGCTCACGCCAGCTCCCTGGCCTCTGGAACGCTTGCGAGGCCCCAGAGGCTGGCCAACTTTCAGCGTCCCGAACCGACTTGCAGGCACAACGCTTCAGGGGACAAGCTTCAAGAAATGCCCCACGAAAAAGCAGAGGAGTGCGGGAGGGGGCAAAATGAAATTAGCCAAGGTGAACTGAGCCGAGCCGAGCCAGAAAAGCAAGCAAAGGCTGGCCTGAAGAAACCGCTTTTGCCTCGCTTTCAGAATGGAGAAGGTCTCAGAGTGACTGGGAGAGACTGGCAGCAATCATGCCAAGTGCTTCAATTCCCACTTGCCTAACAATTGAGTTAAAACAACTTTTTCCACCAAAGCAGGCGGTCAGAGCGAGGAGAGCTTGCATGGGGAGGCAAGCAGAACTGGGCTTTTGCCTGAAACACTCAGAATCTCGGATCTTCTCTGACCCTGAAAAAAAAATTTCTAGGTTTAGGGGCACCTTGACTTAAACAAACCAATAAATAAATAAATAAATAAACCTCAGAGTTTGTCTGTTGCATCTGGTTCTTCTTGCAAGATCTTTAGTTTCTAAATCAAAAATGAAGCAGATCTGACAAGTCGGCCTGGCCCTGATCTGGAATATATGTTTATTATTGTACAGAGAGCTTTAAAAAGAAAAGCGGCTAACTCAATTTTGCTGATGATTCAGGGACAGGCCTGGAATCAGCAGCTGTAAGTAGCACTTACGCCATGCACCAACAGCCAATAAAAAACTGCATTTTTTTCCAAAAAATTGACCAGAAACTGTAAAGAACCACTGTACGTTAAGAGCAACAAAAGAACCGATTGTGCCCCATTCATTTCACGCCCTGGGAATCAACGGTTAGCATTGTACATGTACCGAGGGTCTGAGACTGTCTTAAAGGAAGGGAGCTTTAAAAAGCAAACGTTTAGGCTCTTAGATCAGGAGGTCCAGAGAAGCAACAAAACAGCTTCCAAGTCAGCACACTTATAGGATGACTCTACAAAAAACATATGCCCGGGGAAATGCAAAACTTCAGCTTCAAAGTGTGCTTGGTCTTACTCCTGTCTCTGCATTTTAAAATGCCAGAGCACACAAAAGTGGCTTTTCCTTTAAGGTTGCAAACTTGCACGTGCGCATGCACACGCACGCACGCACGCACGGGCAATCCTAAACCCCAAAAGCACAGGCTGGAGGGGCCGGGATTCACCCAGGGCTGCCCTGTCCCAGTGAAAGAAATCCCAATGGCAAGGCAGGCTGTGAAGCCGCAAAGGTGCCGCAGTGAGCCCTGTAGAAAACTTCGTGGCGTAAATCTACCCCTAGTGGTGTCGTTGCTCGTAATACATCCCTGAAATGAGGATTGCCAGAGGCAGTGGATCCAAGGCCCGCTCCGTTGCGCCCCAAGGCCCCCAGTCAAAGGCACGGCACGTAAAAATGTGCCAGGACAACTGATCCTACGTGGCCGATCCTGCTAAGGCTTTGGACGAGGCCAACCGTCCGCCATCTTCCCCTTCTCCTCTCTCTGCCAGCCCTGCTGAACTCAGCGCAATGCGCACAACTCCAAGTAGAGATAGGCAATGTTCTGGAAACTCCTCCTCGAAACGGGGTTCACCTCATTCCTTTTCCCAAATGCAGGTGGCTTCTTTCCTGATTAAGAAAAACACACCTTTTTAGAAGTACTTTTTCCCTAATTGAGAAAGGCACATTTCCCCTCAGACTTCAGGAGGTGAAAAATGTGGACTTCAGAAAGGGGGAACATGCATTTGTGTACTCGTACCACGCTGTCCTATTAAAATTATCCAGAGCTATGATCGTCACACCTCTGCAGCGAAGGAGCTGTCTGGCAAAAGGCTGCAGCCACCTTGGAATTCTTGGCCGGCCGATGGGCCACAACTGCCCAGTGGGACCTGCAGCCCAAGAGGGACACCTGTCACAGGTAGCTAGGTGTGCTGCCCATCCTTTCACATCTCCACAGTGCAGTTATGCCTGGCTCACCAGCCATGGGCCAACCAACAAAGACGCCAGAACCCTAGAGGCTATTTTGCCAAGGACGGCACCAAAACAGAAACACAGAAACAGAGCAAGTCAGAAGGGACCTCCCGGGCCATCTAGTCTGACCTCCAGCGCCAGCTGGCTCTGCTCACAACCTGCCCACCATGTGCACATCCAGCCTATCCTTGAACACCCACACCGATGGGGCCTCAACGACCTCCCGTGGGAGCCCATTCCACACCCTCGGGGTCCTGATGGTCAGGAAGTGCTTCCTGGCATCCAAATGGGACCTTGGCTCCCTGAGCTTTGCTCCATTGGAGCGCATCCTGCCTTCCTCTGCAGGGGGGAACAGGTCTCTGCCCACCTCTGTGTGACACCCCCTCACATACCTGTATGTCACCAATAGATCCCCTCTGGGTCTTTTCTCTTCAGGCTGAAGAGACCCAGTTCCCTCAGTCTCGCCTCATACCCCATCCCCTGCAAACTGGCCACCAACCTTGTGGCCCTGCGCTGCACTGACTCTAACCTGGCCAGATCCTTCCTGTAATGAGGGGCCCAAAACTGAGCACAATACTCCAGTTGTGGGTGCACCAGAGTCGTATAGAGTGGTAGTAATACCTCTCTTGATCTCGAAGCCCCTCTTCTGGCTATGCAACCAAGGGTGGCGCTCGCCCTCTTGACCACCGCATCCCACTGCTGGCTCATGTTCAGCCTGCAGTCAACCAGCACCCTGAGGTCCCTTTCACAAGTGCTGCTCTCCAGCCACTTGCCCCCTACCAAGCTGGCATCGGCCTTGTCCTACAGTCCAATCTAAGAACAACACGGTATTTCGAGTTTCCCACTACAACTGTTCCTATTAGACCTTCGAAGACCTTACCCTGCGCTCTACTAAGAAATCCCCCCAATTCCAGAGGACTTCTGCCAACGCGTCTGCTTGCTTACCTTCCTTGGGGGCAGTGGCGGCAGTGGCGGCCGTGGTCGCTGTCCCGCCGGGGCGTCCCACGGGGCTGGAATGCTTCCCAGCCCTGCCAGGAATTTTCAGTCCGCTTGGCTTCAGCATGCTTGCCCGGGTTTCTGGCTTAAGCAAAGGGAAACTGTCTCCTCTACTGAATTCCTTGGCGTCACAGCATCAGGTGTCTCTGCGGCAGGCCCTTTTATCTACCTTCAGAGAGCTGGAGAGGGGAGAAAAACCCACCGTTACAAGAGGCAGGAAAGAAGATCAACTACAGAAGAGAAACTTTAACTGTTGCTTGAAGTCAATGGGATTACGATATTACGTGCTCCAACGGCCCCCTTCTCACGGGGGGCAATCCCCACTTCCCAGTCCTAGAAGCAAGCAATGTGCCTGTTTTCCCAGGGTGTGTGTGTGTGATGCCTTGTCAAGGCACTGCTAGCGTGAGTTGTGAGCGTTGTCATCATTGTCCTGCATCAGCTCCCAAGCCCAGCCCCTGCAAAGTTAGGAAACACACAATCCGGGCACTGTGGTGCTCACGCACATGGAATGTGCTAAGTCTGGCCTGCCCACTCTCCTGAAAGTCTGGGAAATTCTCTGCAGGAAATTTCCGGCTGTCAGCTCAGCCTGCATCACAATGTGTGACTCATGGCCTTCATGGAATCCTGTCTCCTCCACTCGTATCCCTGGCACTTTAAGCAAAAGAAATACTTGCTTTGCTTGCTCTGACAGACACTTTGCCACATCTCCCAAAGACAGAACGAAAACAATACACGGATTTCTTCTGCCACTGTCTGGCTTTCTTTCCCTGATGGAATTCCAGATACCCCCAGGGAATTCCCGGTTGGTCTCCCATCCAAGCACTGACCAGGAGAGGATCTACCCCGATGGATGCAAAATGCACAGACCGCTGTTGAAGCACATGCGAAGGGATGCAGTGTGCTTCCCACTGTGTTTGGAGTATGCGATCTTGTCTCACATTGTGGGAGAAACGGGAAGAGCTGGAAAGGAGAAGGCCGCAGGGAAACGGCCCTTTAATAAGGTGTGTGTCCGTCCGCGCACCACTAAGTTATGTGCAAGTGCAAGAGTGAACAAGGAGAGTTTCTTTTGGGGGGTGCATAAATTGACAGTTTTTCTGGGCCTCTCACAAAAAAACCTGGAAGAAGCAGGGAGGCCATGACACAGGGGCCAGGCTCCCACTTCCCATGGGGCGAAACAGCAGGATCCGTTCCCCACGCGTTCGTCTAACCCGAGGGCAGCCGTGGACACACCACCCCAAATCAGGAAGGCAACACTGCCTATGTGCACAGACGCAAGCTCACGAGCATTTACTATCATGCACAGAGAACTGCACAGCATCTCGTTCTAGCAGAAGCAGCTCCAACCAGCTGACCCGTGTGTCTTTCCAGCTCATCCTTCAAGACTCTTCCCTTCTTATTACTCTGCTTTGAAATGGGACTTGGAAAGGGCAGCCCTTCCAGGAGAGGACCGTGCCTTGTAAAGTAGGTCGCACAGCCACACCGCTCAAGCCCAGGGCCGCCCCCACATCCTGTGGCAGCCAATTCTGTGAGTTAACTCCGGACCACCGCGGAAACACAGTCCTGCTGGGCAGGACTCCGACCAGCATTCGTGGGACCCTCAGGCATCCCCCAAACAAAGCTGTTATTAACACGAAACAAAGACGGCCGTGTCCTCGTGGAGGAAGAAAAGGAGGACGCAGGGAGAGTAGCATGCCAGCTTCGGGAGCGAGGGGAAGATGCCAGAAATCCCGGGTGACTTGCCAACCGAAGATTTTCGCGCTCGGCTAGCGGAAACCAGAAGCGGGAGCTGGTCTTTCTTGATGACCACCGCCTGCCATTCAGAAAAGGCGGCCTGCTTACCTAAGGAGGAGGTGCAAATGCTTGGGGACACGATCCGGCATCGGCAGAGCCCCGACACGAGCTGCAATGCCAGCGCTTGCTCCTTTCTGTTCCCTGCTGTGCGCGTCGCAGAGGACCGGATGCATGAAATTGGCTGTATAAATCAACCGACTGCAGATCTGTTTGCACTTTGCTAGAGGAAGGGATTCCTCCCCCCGCCACCATACACCACCCTCTCTTTCTTTTTTTAAACAGGAAGTGAGACAACACCACGCATGCATGCAGCCACAGAAACACCCACCCCGCAGAAACACCCACCGGCGATGCGAAAGTGGCTGCGGAAGGACCTTGGGCCGTAACACAGTTGCAACACATTTGCTCGGGCATGCCCGGAGAGGAAAGCTAGCGTTTCAAGGCTTTTAAAAGCCTGCTCTCGGCAAGGGCGGCAAAAGAATGAAGGGCCATAAAAGGGGGTAGAATCCAGAACCTTCTGCTCTCTGCAGAACAGGTCACATCGCTGTCGCAAAACTGTCTGCAGACCGGTCCCTGCGTGTCTGAGCCAGGTGGCCAAATTCAAGGCGTGATCCATAAAATCGGCTTGGGGAAAAATTAGAAAGACGTCTTGTCTGGGAGAAACTCCCACGCCTTCCCCATCGACTCCTTTCTGCTAGCAATTATACAGTGCTCAAGGCAGAGACTGGTTCTCCTCCACTCTGCAAAAGGGCCACACACACACACGCACACACACACGGAACAATGACTAATTGAATCACACGCATGCATGGAGGACTGTCAAACAGCATCACTAGCATTCGGCTTCCACCTCTTCCCAACACCACAGTCAAGGCGGCTTACAGCATTAAAATGTCTCTAATCAGAACATAAACAGAAATCTACAAATGTTACACGTATACTTAAATCTGTAGACTAAAAGACCAAACTAAAAAGCCTTCAAAATATAAACACAAAATGGCTGCCCAAACAGAAAAGCCCTGCAGGAGACAGCATTCGATAAAGCAAGGCACTCCGGGTCATATACCACCACCACCACCACCCCCCATCACCACCACCGCTAGTGCCAGAGATGCTTAGCAGCAGGGTCCCCAATTTTTTGGCCCCGGGAGCGTGTTTGGGGGCACAAGAACCTGCCGTGAGCAGCACCACACGGCTGCAACGACCAATCCCATCTTAGCTGCTCTGATCCAGAGGGAGCTGAAGAGGAGCTAGTGCGATGCTAGTGGGCTGGGATGCAGGAGAGTTAGCATGATCAGAGCAGAGCCTGTACCAGGGGATGCAGGCAGAAGGACCATTTGACTGGGTCTCCTTTTCATGGAGGTAGTGACAGATTTTATTTTCCTGGGCTCCAAGACCACCGCAGATGGGGACTGCAGCCGAGAAATTAAAGGACGCTTGCTCCTGGGGAGGAAAGCTATGGCAAATCTAGGCAGCATACTAAAAAGCAGAGACATCACCCTGCCGACAAAAGGGCGTATAGTCAAGGCTGTGGTTTTCCCAGTTGCAATGCATGGCTGTGAAAGTTGGACCATAAGGAAGGCTGAGCACCGAAGGATTGAGGCCTTGGAATTGCGGTGCTGGAGGAGACTCTGCGAGTCCCTTGGACCTCAAGGCAATCAAACCAGTCAGTCCTAGAGGAGATCAGCCCTGACTGCTCTTTAGAAGGCCAGATCCTGAAGATGAAACTCAAATGCTTTGGCCACCTAATGAGAAGGAAGGACTCCCTGGAGAAGAGTCTAATGCTGGGAACAATAAATGGCAAAAGAAGAAGGGGACTGCAGAGGATGAGGTGGCTGGATGGGGTCACTGAAGCAGTCGGCGTGAGCTTGGGTGGACTCTGGGGGATGGTGGAGGACAGGAGGGCCTGGAGGAGTGTTGTCCATGGGGTCACGATGGGTCAGGCATGACTTCGTGAACAACATCACATCACATCACATCTTCATGCAGTAGGAATATCAACAGTTCCTACTGTTCAGCACCGGGTGAAGATCATTCAAATGGGCCGTGATACTGAACACAGACTACAGCACAAGGAAACACTTTTTTCGGCAATCCTCAGTGGATTTGCACAGGAAAACAAAACGAGAGAACCATGCATGAGAGAATAAAGGATCCTTTCTTACAAAGGATTGTGGTGTGCTTTGTTGTATTAAAGTGTTCCTTGGTTAACTACAAATCAGTTAAAATACCACCATTCTGGCAAACCTGTTCCATCGTTTCACAATTTCTTAAATACACCAGGAGAGTCTCCAAAAGAACCGGCCAAGGCCTCTCTTGTTGTCTCAGGAGGCCTGCTAAGAGCTGGGGGTGAGATACCAAGGCTGGATGCTTGGAGGGAAGAGAAGAGCAAAGCAGAGAGAAAAAGGCAGGCAAAGGTCAGCAGGTGGAGAGACGCTGAACTGAAGAGGTGGCGAAGGCTGCCCTCCTCAAGTTATGGAGTCACTTCAAGGGCAGAAAGGGAGAGAAAGACGATGACCCTAACATTTCCCTTGCTTAATTTTATTTTCTTCACATAAACAGAGTACAAAGAGAAGAAAAGTATATGTAAAATAAAGTAGAATAACGTTGCCAAGGGATTTTAAACAAGTGCAACCAGTGCATTCAAACCCACAATTTTCTCTATCTTCCTGTCGTTCAACTCTTTATGGGACCTCAGAAAGGAAGAGGTCATGTTTCTGTACACCAAATTTTCAATCACTTTAAGTCCTCAACTACTTTTTAAAGAACTCCCTTTTGCATCCCATTAACCGTACAGGGTATAAAAGATTGCCGTTTGTCGTTAAATTCTTCCACCAGTCTGCTAGTTAATTTTGCCACCACTGTGTATCCTGCCAGCTTATTTTTTGAGGGCTTTATTTTATGCTTATGGAATGCAGGGAATGGAGAGCTTCCTGGGACGTTCGTGACTGGAGGCCCTGCTCCATGGATCTGGTGAATGCTGAAAAATTCCTGCAGCTCAGAACAACATCTGGCAAGACAACTTCCGAGGAGGAGGAATGACAACAGCCTGCAAACCAGCATTCCCAAACCCGCGGCCCACCTTCTCCATGAACCATAACTTTTGGCCCTGCCCACCTCCAGCCAGCCATGCCCTTTCCTAGAATACTCCATTCCATTCTACCCCCTTTCCCTTCCAAGTGTCACTCCCCTTGGTTCGTTGTGCCCCAGAATTTCTCCTACAGCTTCCCCCTCTCCAAGCTTCCCAACATTATGCGATTATTTTGGCTGTCCTTCCTGCATGCACATCAGCAAGAGATGGAAGGAAATCACACCGATGGGCCAGGGACTGCATGAGGGGCTTGTCTTGCGTCCTGCCCCCCACAACTTGGTCCCCAGGAGAAGAGACTGCTAAATGTTGCATTTCTCAGCTGAGGGTGGCAGTCATGGGAGAAACGCGCAAAGCAGATTTTCTTTCCTCGTATAACGATGTTTAAAAGGGTGCAGAAAAAATGAGTCAACCGGGACTGGATGCTGCCGAACGATCTGGAAGGCAGAGCTGACTTGCTGGCACAATCTGGAATTATCAGCACGAACAAAGGGGATTTTTCCTCCCGCTGCCCCCACACGGTTTTATTTGCTTTACTCCCCCCCCCCCCCGCAACAGTTCCGCTATTGAGTGCTCTGATTTCAAAAGGAGACCTCATTAAGCCAAGTGGAAGGCAGCAAAGCCTTCAGAAAGGGGAGGACATGCCTGCAGACCCCGAATTTGCTTGGCGTGTTCAAAGGAGAAGGAAACTTTGATGCCAGGCAGGTTGTTACACACCTGTCACTTCTTTGGAGGTCTCTGCATGGAATCAGCTCACTGACTTCAAGATCAGCCACTCTGCTGATCAGGCCAGAGAAAGGCACAAGAAGAGCATTTTTAACTTTTATTTATTAGATTTATATCCCACTTTTTTCTTACCAAACTCAGCTTACCTCGTTCTCCTGCTGCTGCTCTCAGTCATATCCCCAAAACAACAACCCTGTGAGGTAGGCTGGGCTGAGAGTCTGAGCCTGGCCCGAAGTCACCCAGTTGGCTGGAATCCGGATCACCTGAGTCCCAGTCCCACGCTCTTAACCACCGCATCACGCTATTCCACAGCCAGTGGCCCCAAGCGTTAAGGACAAATCACCATCTATCTTCACACCAGTCCAAACTGCTGCCAGCAAACCTGCCACTTCTCTTGCACCAGGTAAATTCCCCACCGTGCCTCTTGGATCCTGGCATGAGGCAGTCGGTTCCTTTAAAGGCGAGGGGAACATGGCATCCGCTTTCATACAATTCATATCCTTGGCCGCACAAATAAGAAAACAACCCTGTCATTTCAGCGGCCGTGCGATGCTTCTCCACACAGGAGGAAGATGCTGGCCCCATTTTCATGGCCAAAAAGCCAGGCGGAGGAAGGCCTGTGCAAATGTGCCAATTTAGAAATAACAGCTTTGATAGAAATGTAAGATTTCTCACACCTAATGGAGAAAAATACCCAGGTGACTTGTGTGCCCAGGTATGAAGTAATGGGAAATTTTAACTCTGCCTTAAGTCCCAGCACTGAGAATACACAGGGTGGTTTATTTTGTTGTTGGTCCCTGCTCGTGCCATTTTCTGGTCCTTTGACTTTAACCCAGACTTGGGCTATCAAAATTTATTTAAAATCTTATTTATTTAAAACTTTCCTATACTATCCCATCATAACATCTCGGGACGGTTTACAGCAACACTGAAAAAACAGAATAAAAATAAATGAGGAAAAAATATCACAGCATCCAGTATTCAGTGGACAAAACCAACAATTCCACTATTCGGAAAACCAGAAATTAAAACCATTAAACAATTAAAATATCGGGAGAATAAAAAGGGTTTTGCCTGACGTTGAAAGGAAAGAAGCGTTGGCACCAGGCAAACCTCTCCGGGAAGCAGATTCCACAGTCCACAAAAAAGAGCTGTCCTTTGTAAAGGAGGCCACGAGGCCACCCTCTGCAGACACAGCGCTGCCCCAGAGCCCAGGTTTCTCTGGGGGGCAACGCCTGCCTTTTAGACCACCCCGCAGGCTTCGTGCACCCCAGAGTAGCATCACTCCAGAGCTGGGGGTCTTGATG